TTTGTCGGGCTCATAGCCATCGGTTTTTTTAAGGAGGCACGAAGGTCTATATAATCTAGATGGATTTCCTTTGTATAGAGCTTCATGCTCAAAATCAATCATTTAGTATACTCTACTATTAGTTACGAATTGCATTATTGTCATTACTTTAAGTCCCTGCTTGACGCCTAGTTATAAACCACCTCGAGAGCCTAGAGCACTTCCACGTGATCTAGACGGCAAACCTCGTAACATATATACTACTTCAATACTTCTCATCTCTACCCACCCTTCATCTCCATCTCAAATCACACTGGGACCCTTCACACAACTGAGTTATACTCAAAGAACATATACATTCCCGCATACTATAAATAAACCTATAATTCTATAAACCGGGTATTTAATATAAATATTTATTTCCATCATCATCCGCTCTTCTGCACAATATGCTCATCAGCATCTTCGGATCCCATCGCTCTATCATATCCTAACCCTAATCCCTCAGTTCACACCAATCAACCAATTCATCTAAAATCCATTCCAACCAACGCTATGCCCTCAAAAATTCCAAACCTCAAAACCACTTTGGTCCAAACACTTAAATCACTCATCTTCCCTCCCCTGTACTTGGAGCTCCAGGAACCATATCTAACACCTCCAACTTGTCAGGCATTTCTTCTCTATTCCTTCCCTCTACAACAGCAATAGGTCCTAAATCCGCAACATTCGTATCTCCACCTCCAAGTAAAGCAATACTACTAATAACATCTACTGGTTCCAAAAGATGCCATTTAGCTAATGTTGGTTTACTTGATGCTCCAACGGTAACCGTAAATACATGATCCACGTCAAGATCACTATTATTTAATGCTCTGAACATATCTTCATCAGTAGTATCATCACCAGCGCACATGGTGAATTCAGGAGGTTGACCGACTTCTTTGCCATAAGAATCGACGAGTTGTTTGGCAATGGAGCCTTTGTTGATAAATGTAGGACGAACTTCAAGATTGGCTTTACCAGTCATGACTTCCACATCCCAAGCTTTACCAACTGTAGACTCGAGTTCTTTTTGACATTCACGTGACATGCGTTCACCAAGTTCAGGATCAGATGGACGATAATGCCATGTCAAGGCACAGCGTTTTCGTTCAATGAAGGAGCCTAATTTTGTTAGTGAGAAATTAAACGAGAATCCAAGAAAGGAGAATAATACGAACCTGGAGTCATCTCGGTATACTTCTGAAAACACTCCATAACTTCCTTTTGCCAACCCATATCAAATTTCTCGGCAAGATTTTCCCATTCTTCACTACCTGGATGACGCATAAAACTACCATGTTCAGCACTGAATCCTAACTCCGGAATATGTCCAAGATGCTGTCCTAAAAATTCTTGATCTCTACCACTAATGATCCAAATGGCGTTTTTAGGATCAGCAGCTAGCGCTTTCAATGTGCGGTATAATTTATCAGACGGCAGAGCTGCGGCAGGATCTCTGACAATTGGTGTGAGAGTACCATCATAATCGAACATGAATAACCTCTTTTTAGCGGCTCTGTACTGAACCAACATGGAAGCCTTATCCAAAAGAGGAGTTGCAAATGCATTGTTGTTGGAACCAATTTTTGTAATCAAGGTTCGGATGAGACTCTTTGTCCAGACTTGAATGTCATTCTTAAAGATGTAATCCGATAATGAGTAGTGAAGCTCTGCCTTTCTGTCTGCGGGCATTTCCAGAGCAAGTCGAATATTTTCGGCGACAGTATTCATATCCCATGGATTGATATGAATGGCCGAATCCAATACTGCAGCTGATCCAGAAAATTCGGATATAATCAAAGGACCATGATTCTCCTTTTGACAAACAACATACTCCAAACTTGTTGTGTTCATACCATCACGTACACTAGTGATTAAACCCACATCGGCTACACGAAGAAGAGCAAGATACTCTTCTTGTGAAAGATATTGAGGATAATGTTGAACGGGAGAGAAACTCAAAGAGCCATATAGACCATTGATCTTTGCAACAAGTTCAGCAACATTGGCGGCGATCTTATTTCCAGAATCTTCTCTTTCTTCTTCGACACTAGTTGGACTTGTCACTTGTACCAAAACAACCTTCTCACGCCATTCTGGAAAATTTTCCAAGAAGCGTTCAAAGGCCATGAGCTTTTGTGCAACACCTCTAACACTGTCCAGACGATCCCGACCAACGATGATTTTTTTGCCTGCATATAATTTCCTCAATGCTGCAACTTTTTCATCGATAGCAGGATCACCAAAAGCAAGCTTTTCAACATTTCGTGCGTCAATTCCAATGGGGAAAGCTCCCACATCACATCTTGCACCATATGCTTCGACACCTGCGCTCGTTGATGGGAATCCCAGAATACGAGTACAACAAGAATTGAAGTGTCGAGTGTAACTGAAAGATTGTAATCCAACCAAATTTGCGCTTAAAACTCCCTCTAAAATTTCCTTTCTTCTCGGTAAACATCGAAGGAATTCGCTACTGGGAAATGGAATATGAAGATAGAAAACAATGCTCATATGTGGAACACGTTGTCTCAACATACTTGGAAGAAGTAAAAGGTGATAATCATGCACCATAACGATGTCGCCTGGTTTATAAACCTCGAGGATTCGGTTTGCGAATTTTTGATTCATTCGATAATAATCTGCCCATGATTGTCGTTCTTGTCGACCATTTGTAGGTTCATGTTGTTTGTAATGAAAAAGAGTGTATAGTTCATGCTCTGCGAATCTTCTCCATCTTGATTGATCTTTCAGGCAGATACTCCCATCTTCGTTGGTATCTGCGTCATCACATAACCAAACTGGGAATACTTTTCCGTGCTTTTGATGTGCGAGTTGTTTCTCGAGTCGTTGCCGATCTTCACTTGTAACGAACAATCCTTCGTTTTCTACTGGAGTTGGAGGCATGGTAACACCATCAACTGGTATTGGTGCCGAGCTCTTGTTGTAAGGAACTCTATTTTGTGGGGGTTGCGATTGGATTGGGTGTGCTCCAAGTGGAGGGGTATCCGGAGGTGTGAGATCTTCGACTGGGTTAATTTCTCCAGTCCAGCCAACGAGTGTATGATTCCATGGTGATTTGTCCGAGGCAAGATATTTAAAGGAATCGAATTGAGAGGAACCACCATGTCTTTGCGACCATGTCTATATGATTGTTAGCACTAGAAATGCCCGCAAAACATGCCCGCACATACCCAATCTGAGCCTTTTCTGTACATCAATGATTGTTGTATACAAAATGTCGCAGAAATGATTCCACCAGTCAAGCCTAATGATGGATGCGCAGCTCGTGGATCAAGGTCCGATATCGAACCTTGTATTTCGCGACCAGTAGATAGACTCAATCTTTGGAGGACTTCTTGATTTGACAATTTGCCATCAATGGCATCGGATGGGGAGTTTGCCATATTGGAAGAGTGGTTAAAACCGTGTAAGAAATAACCTTCTTCTTCAATTTCAATTGATTTATCGTCTACTTTATTCTTTTCGTATGCTCCCAAATGTATGCCTGGAGTGACTGGAATATTCGTAACCGATGGACTCAAAGCTGGATGTCGACTGATCTGCCTCTTGAGAGATTCTGGTCGTAAAAGAGGGGTAGCTGTTGATGCTGATGACCCCGTTAAGCCTAAGCCTGACGAGTCTCTTGTATTTTCTGCCATGACGAAATGTAAGTAAAATAATTATTTAGGTACTGTATTTGAAGGTATTCGAAAGAGAGAAGGTCATAGATAGGTGGAATAAAAAGTGATTATTTAGGAAGAGCTGAATGGTAGGAATTTGGCAGGATGGAGTGAATGGAGGGGTCAAAGGAGGATTGTGTTTGTGAGAGGTCGCAAAGGCTCATATACAGGCAGAATGAAGAACACGATAAAGTTTCGCGGCTTCCTTCAATCTGATTTCCTGTATCTGAGTAGGCTTTGCTTGGGTTTATATCTTTTCGGGCAGGAACGTGGTCGAGTGGTTGGCACAAGGAAAGAGCGCAATGTGGAAAATCTTGGAATAGAAGATGATGGGAAACCCGAACACACCTTGGAAATACGAATACCCAGTACCTCAATCCAAAAATTCTGATTTCTGATAAGACGAGCAACCCACCAGCTTGCAGCTTTTCCGGAGCAAATGCTCAGGTCGTATAATACGTGACGTAATAATGCTGTTTGCGTCTTGCCGAATTATACAGCAACTTATAATAAGAAAGATCTTCGCAAGAATGAAGTAGATGTGAAAATATTTTGTATATTTTTTTGTCTTCGGTTTAAATTCCAATATCTCGTCGTCGATACAGATTGATATTGATGCTATTTTGTGATTTGGAGACAGGAAGGTTTTGGAGGGGGGTTTAAAGGCAAAAAGGAGTCGAGTTACTCCCGTAGAAGAATAAAGTTTACGCTTTCCAAGGAACGGGACTGACAATAGAACGACACTATCAAATTCATCCATGGTATCCACGATATTTGGCTATTTAGTAACTAGTTGCTCATTAACTCCGTACTAGGGAAGTATTCGAGGTCCGGTTGTTTATTAGGGTGGAGGGGCATAATGAGTGGATATTCCCAAGATCGGATAGGTCGTTGGATTGGAAATGGTGCAATATGGAGACGGTGATTGTATCTCGAGCATGGGATTGGATAATGATTGATAATTCAATGGATCCGATACTGGACTGGGGACCGGGAATGTTGAATGTTTGATGGGGTAAAATGGAAGATCACGATAGAAGAATAAATTGGAAGGAACAAGGAGACAAGCGAAAAGGTAAATAAATGAATGTTACCGTAATCCGTCCTCTGTAGGGTTAATAAATGTGCCAACAATTTATACTAGTGTCGGTGTCGGTGGTACTCTGCTTACAGATGTTCTAGAGTTATTCTAGATTTATTCATGGAAAGATGGAAAGATAAGATCTTCAGGGCAGGCTGAAATGGATTTTAGTCTGGATGAATGCTCCCTTCGTGCCATCTTTTTTCTCCCTTATTCATCAATACACTTAGCCTGAGTACAGTAAATAGATACCTTGGTAATAATAATAAATCATTCATACACAACATCCAAAGCATTATCTCAATAGATTGCAACATTTTCCTCTACATCCCAATGCATCTATACCCAAGTCTAGGTTACATCTACAGAGTACTAGGTAGGTATATCCAACATTCGTCGTAATCAAGACCATTCACATCAATACAATACCGACACCAATCTTCCCACCTCCACATACTCCGTACATGTCAAAACCTTCCAAATCCACTACTACAGAGTATTCCCCTCATCAACTCCCGCCCTTTGCGGCCCCAAAACGCAAGGTACACTGATGGTACACATCCAGAACACGTGTCTGATAGAATTCCCCCTGAAAAATGTTTCAACCTCACCGCAATCTTTGTTCATCCGAGGTATCATACATAGTATGGAAAAACATGGAAAAGAAAACGAAGATTACGATCCCCCTTACACCGATCAATAAGTTAAAATCCCATGTAATAAGATGTACTCCATAAGATGAACGATGAACTCCGTATATTTCTCCAGAGTCTTATCGTTTTAATGTTTATTTCTCCATCAATCCTTTTGTGACCAATTCATCAATTCGTTAACAAGTGTGTATGTGGTGTGTGTGGGGTAAATTTGTTGTCATTGGAATGTTGGTCATCTAGGTGGTACTCTGTATGGATGGTATGGATGGTATGGATGGTATCGAATACCGATGTAGCAGATTATCAAATTATCATGGTTCATTGAATGGGATTCTTAGTCTAGCGGGTGCCTGACTTTCAAGGTTACGATCAGGTAATTTTTAATTTCTTTATTAGGAGAGTTTAGTCGATTGTTTTCTAAATCATATATTTTGAACTCGGTTCTTATGTTTTTTAGAATATATATTAGGTTTGTTTAATTATACTATATTATAATTATTAATTGAAAATTATATTTTAAATAGATATATTATATTAAAAAGAATGATCTGACACAGGGAATAGTGGGAAGCTGATAGGGCAGAACTGAGGCTGTATTGGTCTAGTATATTAATCACTCACTATTTAAGTTCTAATGAAGTGCGAAGCTCTTCTATAGTGTGACGGAAAAGTCGTAAACGGAGTCAATTCAATTACTTAGAATCTAAAACTAAAGAACTAAGAAGATTCTAAGTAAGAAGGTCTTTATATACAGGGCTAGTGCACGTGAGCCACTAGTGGGTAACAACCGTCACGTAACAAATGACAATAATGCAATTCGTAACTAATAGTAGAGTATACTAAATGATTGATCTTGAGCACGAAGCTCTATACAAAGGAAATCCATCTTGATTATATAGACCATCGTGGCATGCGTCCCAGTGCTCCCAGTTGTCCCAGTTGTACTGGGACAGCTGAGCCTACTGGGATCCTCATATCACATGATGCTAATCACGTGATGTTAGGTATGTGAGATCCGTCGTAACACATGTAAATATAATTCAGATTGAGTTCATGATATATAATTTAGAAAACAACCAACTAAACTCTTTAGAAGAGTTTGTTTATATTATTCAATCAAAGAGTGTAAAAACTCTAGAAGAAGGTCGATGTGAAAACTAGACTATGGGATTCTATGACTCTTTTGGGATGAACTTTTTGCTTTTGTTGCGGCATTATGTTTTTCGCTTGATTCTTTTGCATTGCCTTCTTTCAGGTTAAAGCACAGTTTAACGCTCCGTTATCTCTCACTCTTCTGAACATTCAATCCTTTTCACACTCTTGGAAATCTTAAAACATTTCAAACTTTCACTTATGCTAATTATTTACATATCCTACACTTTAATTACTGTCACTTACCCAATACCTTTCTGTACCTTTAATAAATACACATCTACCTTTCTTCTCCCCAATTGACATCTCATCGTTCCCGAGGTAATTGATAAATTCTAAGATCTTATTTATCCTCACGACAAGAAGCCCAACCAATTCTCTCCACAATCTCAACCTTCATATCTCCCTTTTCAAACCCTTCACATCCATAATTTAAGTACAACACCATCCCATCCATCTCATCATACTCGTTCATATTGGCTATAAATCCCTTTTAGATTACCATTTTACCCAGCACCATAACTCGGGTAAAGAACAAGTAAGGTTGAGGCTAATAAACAAAAGCCCAACACTCTTAGTTTTTGTACCCAAAAGAAAATAATGAGGAAAGTTCCTGTCATTTGATATTGAGATTTCGGGATTGTGAGATAATAATTCGGAATGGAGGTGGTTGGTATTGATCACATTCCTCCAGAGTAAGGTGTTACGAGGTTTGCCGTCTAGATCATGTGGAAGTGCTCTAGGCTCTCGAGGTGGTTTATAACTAGGCGTCAAGCAGGGACTTAAGTAATGACAATGATGCAATTCGTAACTAATAGTAGAGTATACTAAATGATTGATCTTGATCTTGAGCACGAAGCTCTATACAAAGGGAATCCATCTTGATTATATAGACCTTCGTGCCTCCTTAAAAACCGATGGCTATAAGCCCGACAAATCGATCACCGCAAAGCCGATCTCGATTTGTCGGTTTCTTGATCATGTGATCAAGAACGTGACCTTTGTTACTGTCCGACGTAACACAACTTCATTTTAACTTTTGATAAAAATATTAACATTCGTGCAACATAGGCAGTACTCGAATAGGGGTCTGTAGAGCCCATAATTCGATTTCTCACTTCAAAATCAAGTGATTGAAGAAGCATAAGTGATCATGATTTTCCTCGTGTCGAATAGTTTGGTGATTTCTGCTGCAAACTTCGAGTTCTTAGTCGTGTGGGGGGAGGGGAATTTTGTGTAGTGCGTTTGAGGTAAAGTTTGTAAATATATATAGGGGAGTACTAAAATGAAAAAAATACCATCTGGGATTGGAAATGTGAAGTGTACAAGATACTGCTCTTGTTCAATACCCAGGTCGAGTGACAAGTACTAGCCGGCTGGTACTATATAAATTCAAACCGGACCTGATGTTTAGTATGGCATAATTTACTCCCTAGCTTTGAGGTACTGAGGAACTCCTACAAATGCCCCCATCGGATAATTTGTCGAGACAAGAAGGTAAAGTTTGCTTGTTCTCTCCCTCCGATCTAATTTCTCTCCATTCTTTCTATAGCCTAGAATGTCATGTAGGAACTGCCAGTTGGCATTATGCTTCACATGCAGTGAATTACTTTTGAAAATGCATCCAGCTCTTCTGAATATATGTATCATGTTCCCTGTTTCGCACAAAGCTTTGTAAAGAGGAACTTGCTCTCCCTCCTAGAGCTGATAGCATCTCTTGGTGAGAAAGAGATATCTGTTACCTAGACCCCGTACCCCTCGGCTTCCGTGCGCTTATCAGAGCTTGTTTATTAGCGTGATGGTGCTAATTTCTAACCTCAATTCACTTCTATTTTATAACATTACCACCATTAAAAACTCATTCAGCGCCAAGTTTATCGCAGAAAGCTTCCCCAACTGCGTGTTTGTTGAGGACCTAAGGGTAAATATATATAAATCAATACGCAAAAGCCCTCAGGGTCTGAATAAGAGTTCATGATGATGGATATGATTTATTATCAGCAAGAAAGCACATGGGAGTCTCTATTTCACGAAAGAATCATGAGAATTAAGTATTTTACTAAGAGTTATTGGTGAACAGTATAGAATACGCCATTCCTGCAAAAAGAAATCCGCTAACTCTTAAACGGCAAAATTTCATCAGCAGATTTACCAAATGAGATGTATCGTTACGCCCTATAGCTCTAAGACGAGGCCTCTTAAAATGACACTTTTAGATGCTCCCAGGTACGGATTATGGTGGTAATTTACGAAGAACATCTCTATATCAGCTACACCCCTTAGCCATCTTGAACCATCAGACAAAGCCAAACGTCTGCTGCTCGGTTCCTATGAAATAATAATTGCCCACCACCAAACTAATACTTAAACCTCAAATCCACGCAAACAACCCGATTTCGCTAAATTTGTAACGCACGAGTAAGGTGGAGAGCTTTCTGAAGTCACCGAAAAGACTTTATTAGAGAATGGTACGGCGACTTCTGGAGCTGTGTCCTTCCGGAAAGTTCCCATTGTGGTCCCGAACATGATCCCCACAATTGCATGCATCACCACGGCAAAAGGTCACTGGCAAGACAATCCGCGACTCCATGTCCATGGGGAAAACCACCACTATTCTCAAAGCCACCACTGAGATATCGTTGACGCTTCCAGCAGTCGCAGATATTACCCTGAAGAATCCATTTGTTAAGATTGCTCAGGATAGAATCTAGAGTTTTGAAAGGAGCGATGCGATCATTCACTAATTGGGAGTCGCTGCGCGATTTTTCATTGCCAATTGTAATGCACAATTTACCAGCTTTTTGTTGTACATCTCTCATTCGATTGTTGTATGCATCTGTGACAGTCTTCAGTCTGTTGGAGGGAGAAGACGAAGACCTGTTGTTTTCGTCAATGATATTTAGGAGGACATGTCTTTCGGAACGAAGCCAGGGTTTATGTGATCTGGGTGGTACAAGTTCGATAGCTTCAGTATCTTAACTGTATTGTAGTTAGGGCTGATTTTCAGATCAAGTTACGGATGAAAAACTTGTGTATATACGACGGAATCTGCGGCCATTCTCTCGATTTCTTCTCTTTGTTCTAGTGTTGCTGCGAGCCAAGCTATTGGGTTTATTGAGACTAGAAAGAGCATCAGATTGAATTGATTGATTCTCTAGCTAAGCAGTTAAGCTGCGAGTATATATTCAAAAAATGAAGGAATAACGTTAGGTATTCAGCCTTCGGAATTAAAGTGCTTTGAAATCAAAATATTGAAAGCAAACAAACAGTATACCAAAAAGGAAAGAATGAATTAAAAGTTGAGTTTTGTTTGCTCCTTATATGCATCATGCAAAATATATACATATGCTGCCAAGATCCCAGGAGGTCAACACAAGCATCAGTTTTCTTGGATTTTTTCTTAGCACTATACTGAGCAGTTGCCCATCTGGCTTTTGCTAAACCTCCAGGGCCACGCTGTTTCTAAAGTTGACTGACTTGTAAACCAAGATCAGCAGGTGGCGCAGGAGGAATCTGTTGCTCATCATCATCCGTGTCACTGGTATCATCAGTTCCGCGAACCGTCGCATCTCGATATCCGTTGGTCATCGCATCCTCAATTCCATCAACAGCTGGACCTCTGCAATGACATTTTTGATATACGAGCTTCTCATACAAATCTTTGTATTCGAAAATCACATCAATGGAATCAAGAGCTGTTACCCACTCCTTAACATGATCATCCAAAACTACTTTTTTCTTTAGGAAATTTCTGTTTATCCCATTTTCACGTCGAGCACTATTGTTGTGAGCAGTAGCATGGGAAGTAGAGGTTGCAGCAGAGGCAAATTCCTCCGCTAGACGTTGACGATGCCTACGGCCTGGAGTTAGGGTTTTTTCGTTCCTAGAAGCAGCGGACTTTTGGTGAGCGCCACGCCCTCTACAAAGCAGAGGGGCTGTTTGATTGCCAGGTATTGTATCTCGTTGAGGATTTGCGGTGATAATAAGAGGGGAATTAGAAGTAATCAAGCAGTTAAAAGCATTCAAGTCGTGTCCAAGCTTAAAAACCAGCGCTCATCAATCACAATGGCACTAGCCGGGTTTGGAGTGGGCTGACTGTCGCAAGGCATTGAACCACGTTGAGAATCTAAGCGTGGCTCGTCGTAGCTATCAACGGAACCATTGAATTGTGCAGGATCTGGATAATGACAAGATTGTTTGAGAGATTGATGGACTGGCTGACGGGAAGATTGGTATTCCCCTGGTGCTGTCCCATTGACTGCATTTAAATTCAAATCCGATTGCACCAATTGCCGGCTGTGAGCTATGAGCGCTGCACCATTCACCATGAAAGGGGCATAGCAGGTGAAACTTTTACGTCTCTCTATAGTTGAGGAGGAGAGAGCAGAATAAGAAGGAGGAGGTTTGGGGGAGCTCTCAAGGCCGAGGACATCGCTTGGCTCGAGAAACATGACTGTATCGAGGAAAATGTTGGGTCTAAAGAAGAGGCTACCTCATGACATTTGCTGTCTTTGTTAGAAGACATTCTTAAACAGCTTAATAAATTAACACAAAATATAAGTATTCGGTGGAAAACTTGATTGTCAATTGGGAGTCCAAACACTTTCTAGAAAGAAAGTTCGTTGTTGATAGTAAAAGAATTCATAATCTGAGTCCGTTGCCAAGGTGGTTGCTGAGAGGAATCGATACTGAAAGCTATTAAACTCCAAAAGGAGTGTATATCATCACTAATTGCAGTATAACTGACAACCTGGCTTGTTAGTGGAGACTCCTCAAGCTTATTACTGGATACCACATAAAGCTTCGACTTCTAGGTGAATGTCGATATTGAAGCTTGAGTCTGGTTGGAAGGTTCTGAATAGTTTAGATGAGATTAAAGGGGCTGTATGGATGGCTTTTGGTGTGGGCGATGAATGCTCTGAATTTTAGCTTCCGTTCGCAGTAGATTACAGTGTTCTAGGATGATTTTGAAAATTACTAAGACATATATGTAAGTAGGATGAAGAGAGGTTTTCGTCTAATATTTTTGTTGAAGATACTTTCCAGCCTTTCACTTAGGTATATCAGGAATACACAGTTGCATCATGAAGAAGTAGGTGTATACAGTTTTGTGTTCAATTTAAGTACATCCTCTAGCCACTAGGAAGTCTCCATCGTAGTGATGTTATCTAAAGTGATCTTCTTTCCTTCATCCTCCCTTTATTTTAAAGAATTACAGTTGTTTACCCGATAAGCATTGTTCTAAACACTGTTAAAACGATTTTGAGATATAGATACTCAGAAGCTTGATACAGAACGTCATGGCTAACCGTAGCCAGACTAACATTGAAAGTGGTCTTTGCTTCACAAAATTAATGCAGATTGTTTGAGGATCTACCAGCCATATAGAGAAAAAAATACTTAGGCGGGAAGATTTGTATAGGCTCGACAGGTCGTAGAATGAAGGGGAAGAAAGGTGTTAATCGTGAGCTAGGGGTTGGGTAATGTTGAAGAAAGTTCTTGGCAGGTGTAAGCTCAACACCTTCAATCAACAGCTAGGATGCCCTATAGCTCGGATTAACGGACTAGATTTAAATTTTCAATGATGAATATTCTTTGAGTGTTTGAATATCCCAAGTTAACTCGGCAATCCAAAAGCCTCTAATACTTGGATTGCAGTCAAAATTATTAGATATTCTGGGACATGGAGACGGAATGGTTTATATATAAGTCTTCCATTGTTTGTATTGGTATTCAAAATGTACATCATACTGCTTTCAGCTATAAAATTTCTTCATATCAGATTTATTTAGTGTTGTAATAACTCAAGCTCTAAATCTGGGAGTCACTATTGAAGATGAATGGTGTGTCACTACTCAAAGAAAAACAAATAACCGAGAATTATTTGCTTACTAAGACCAAGGATTAATACCTATGTGATGAGTAATAGTTCAGGAAAGTAGCATGGCAAAACTCTAGTAATCCGGAAAGGCTAGAAATGCAATTACAATTCAACTTTGTTTCTGATTTCGAAAAGTAAATGGTTTAAATCAATAGCTACATTCTAATACATATTCCCGGGGTTGTTCTCCAATAAGGCTTCATGCGGCATTCACTACAACTCCTACATTTGAGAAGCCACAGAATGGATCTCCTCCAGTATATCAGCGTCGCTGGGCTTCCACCCTAGTACGTTCCTAGCCTTAGCTCCAGATGCCCTATTCTCTGCTGAGATAAACTTTGCAAGAGCCGGCCCAACCGTGCCAGTAGCTTCTTCTATAGAAAGATCTTTCAACGGCAAATTCAATGCCGTGGCCATAGTCTCCCAAATTTGATGAAAAGTAACAACGGTAGACGAAGCAGCATTGAATATCTCCCCGGATTTGGCTTTCTGAGCAGCTAACAAATAAAGTCGAGCGACATCGTCCACATGAACGGTTGTTGTACGACTTTTTCCACCGTCGACACATGTCACAGCACCAGACATCTTAGACATACCCATGAATAATTTGACTCCACTACCTCCTCTTCCAAAGACCCATGGAGCCAGACGCATGGCAATAACTCGAATAGATTTCTTCGCCAACTCAAGCGCATGAGTTTCAGATTGACTTCGAGTATTGAAAGGATTTGGATTCATCGGAGACATCTCGGTAGTCTCTCCACCATTTGGATCTGGAGCAACGTATAGCGTACCGCCGGTCACAATCAATGGTTTGTTGGATCCCTCTAATCCATCCGCAATAGCTTCAATTGCGGCCTTGTCGGTTGGCCAAGCGTCATCATAAGTGCCGGTACTTCTTGCACTGTAGGCGGTCGCAAGATGGAAAACAATATCCGCTTTGGAGCTTTCCTTGCGCAGGATATCAAGGGTGGTAAGGTTCCCACGTACTGGCACCGCGCCAGCTTTGAGTAACTTGGCGTCTCCAGAATCAGCTCGAGATAACCCATGTACCTCATAACCCTCTGCGATTGCGAGTTCTGTGATGACAGAACCGATGTAACCGGTAGCGCCAGTCATGAAAATGCGCTGCGTTTGGTTAGAAGCTGCCATTTTCAAAGATTTTAATAATCAGAATAGATTAGTGGGTTGTGTATGGTGAGATTGCTAGGAAAGACAAGTAGAAATGTGATTGTCTGATTAGGAGAGGATTGATTCGCAGCATAGCCATATATACTTTTTGAAATTGATTGTTGATTATCATTATCATTCTGAAATGGATTGCTGATTCTCATTTTCATTCTGAAATTGATAGTTGATTACCACTGTGAACCAAACTTTGAGCAAAGCATGCTGAACAATCAATCGCGCGTCGGTGTTAAAGAAGGTTTTTGATGTATAAGCATTCCCCACATACTTTCACGCCAACCCTCTCCGCCGAGATGGGGTAAGGAGAACGGTAAATACCCTGAATAATAACTTTTCTAATTTTCGATACTTTATTTATTCAAAAGTGATGTTGTTTTAGAACCGGAGAAATGTTTTGTAAAATCATTTTTTCATATTAATATATAAGTCTAGTGCCTCACTTTTGGACCATCTCTCTTTTAGATTATTTTTACATTAAAATTGATGATTTTCACCTATCAATAACTTTTTTATCTAGAGATACAATTTTCTGAAATTTTAATTACGAGTTTATTACTTATATATAAATAAACTGTGACGGAAAAGTCGTAAACGGAGTCAATTCAATTACTTAGAATCTAAAACTAAAGAACTAAGAAGATTCTAAGTAAGGAGGTCTTTATATACAGGGCTAGTGCACGTGAGCCACTAGTGGGATAACAACCGTCACGTAACATAAACCTTGAAAATTTAAGATTTTTTACTATTTCTTTCAACAAGATATTGATAATCAAATCTCTGAATTTCAAATTATACAGAATTTATATACAAATTTGAATTTTTCGAGAGTTTTGAAAAGTTTCAAATAACATTATTATGATATGATTTTAATTTTGATTTTATATATTATTAAAAGATTATATATTAGATTGAAAAGTTTTAAATTTTAATATAATTTAAGTTTTTAATATTTGTATAATTATTAAATGAGAAAATTAACTCTGATATTACGAGGTTTGCCGTCTAGATCACGTGGAAGTGCTCTAGGCTCTCGAGGTAGTTTATAACTAGGCGTCAAGCAGGGACTTAAAGTAATGACAATAATGATATGCAATTCGTAACTAATAGTAGAGTATACTAAATGATTGATCTTGAGCACGAAGCTCTATACAAAGGAAATCCATCTTGATTATATAGACCTTCATGCCTATCGCTAGTCAGGACCGCGCAGCGGTCCATAACGTGACTTAATCACGTTACCTTGGTTTAGTCATGTGACGCGGCGTAGAAGATAGCCGTCGTAACATCTGATTACTTTTAAATGTTAAACTAGATATTGAAGATTAGAAATCCGCTATGTAAATATTTATTATAAAATGAAATATATAAAAATCATCAAAACTATAAATTCTTCTAAAGGAGAGCGATAATTAGCCAGAGTGTTTTTTCAATCCCATATTACTCATTCATCTCGCGGGAATTTGAAAACTCTGAAACTTAATCCATTATCAGCTACATTTCTAAAAGGTTTTAGTGTGTATTCTTACTGCTGCGTTTCCAGGTGATGCGATCGGGCATGTAAAAGCTTTGTCATCGCGATGTACCCGAAGTGCAAGGATGAGAGAGAGGAGAAAATAAGGGTTTCATGGAGACTACTTCCAAGCCTGCAAATTGTTGCAGATATATGTGGAACACACTGACGCGTCCCTACTCGCAGAAAATGTACTAGTCAAACATCACAGTATATCGTTTTTTTGTTTAGATACCAAGTATTTAATTGCTTTCACTAGGTTGATGACATTTGGAGGTGGTGTAGGACAGTTTCAAGTTTGCTGTATAGAATTCAGGTATTGAGGGAATTGAAAAGCCAAAGGAAAAATATCTATCTAGCACAACAGAAAGATTATCACCCCTAGTAATAAGACTAGACAAGTTTTCCGCCACATAAACTTATATCCAATCTGGTAGAATTGAACCATAGCAAACGAAAATGCAGTTGCTAGAACCAAGGCCGGTTGAAGTAACTTACATTACTCATCTCTTGTTGACCTCCTGTGATCTTGGCAGCATATGCATATATTTTGCATGATGCATATAAGGAGCAAACAAAACTCAACTTTTAATTCATTCTTTCCTTTTTGGTATACTGTTTGTTTGCTTTCAATATTTTGATTTCAAAGCACTTTAATTCCGAAGGCTGAATACCTAACCTTATTCCTTCATTTTTTTGAATATATACTCGCAGCTTAACTGCTTAGCTAGAGAATCAATCAATTCAATCTGATGCTCTTTCTGGTCTTAAGAAACCCAACATCTCTCAACAAGATTAGATTGGCGCTAGTGAAATGGAGTTATAGTTTGACTTCAACGCATTCATCATCGGACGATCCCTTTGTAATTCAAAACTTACCGTTTAGAACTTCTATGCCATCGTGAGCCTTTACTGTTGGAGATGTGAAAAAATTATCTACTAAATTCTTTCATACCTATGAGAATTTCTAATGAGAGATCAATGACTCCTCTAGCGGCCGTTATGAGGGCCCAATACTGGCTGCTATCATCCCACTCTGGAACTCATGACAAATAGCGATAGTTGAGCGGTCTATAATCAATGTGTAGTGGGAGCAATTCTATAAGCACAGGAAATGCTTTACCGCAATAGCAAGGACAGATTGGTATAGTCCATCAAAGAGACATCTCACCATTAACGGTAGATGATGACCTACTTCTGTAAGGAATACTGGATGACTTCTCTCCCCGCAAATACTAGCAGGCAGCAGAGTGCCAGTGAATTTTTCCAAAGCCCACTTGGTCAAAATGGATTATTCCTTTATCAATAATTTTGAGCGTGGTTTTGGTACGTATTATTGCCTAGGCAAGTGTGAAATCTCTACTACTCTTGTATTGGAGAGAGAAGAGAGCAATTATAGTGAGTAGTGGCAGATATCAGATCCTGTGATGAGGCTACAGCACAAAAGCTTGAAAAGTGAATTACAGCTGAAGTATTCACTGCTGCTGTTTACTGATTAATCGAGCTATTTTAGAAGATAGAAACAGCAGACAGCAGAAAGACCTTTGAACTGTTGCTTCCAAATTAATCATACAAATGCAAGAGTCATCCACCATTACATACAACCACTTGGGCTACAACTATGGATATCTTTGCGAAGCAATTCCCGACATTTCTGTCTCACAATCAGAACATGGAAGGCAGCTCTGTGCAAGTACACGCAGAGTACACAGATCGCGACTTCAACAACAACAGAACTCAAAGTACTTCTCTCGAGATCAATCTACAGACCCTCAAAGTTTTTACAGGCGCTACTGGTGAGACACCCCAATAATTATGAGTTATATTTACAATTATCTAACGCCCCAATCAGGCAATAATAATGCGACCGACGATGATATTACCATGTCAGGACTCAACTATCCTATGAGCTGGACCACAAACAACCCAATCACCCATATGAAGCCAAGTACGCACTCATCTATCAACACAGGCCAGATCCAGCAGCAAGCTGATCTGGCACGCATGCAACAACCAACTATTCGGGCTCTGCAGTCCGCCACAGACAAAGCTATTAATAAGAGCAAAGAAGTCGCAAACGAAGTCTTCATAGGACCAAGGTTTGCAAATGAGCGAAGGACTATGAGAAGAATCTCCAGTGCTCAAGCTGGTAATTCGAACAGTCAGAATTCTTCCAAAAAGAAGCATAAACAAGCAGAAAAAAACCTCACCGCTGTCAATACCACGAACGCAAAGCCGAAGAGAACAAAGAAGAAGAAGAATGGCCATACCACCTTCCAGGCCAACCCAGTCGACGGCTCAGTTAACAAAGTTAAGAAGAGAAAGCCAATGAAAGGAGAGAAAGAGCAGCATATGCTATATTTGATGGAACGTCGCAAGTTCGAGGATGGAAGAAAGCTTGCTGATGCCAATCTGGCCGCCAGGGCAGATGCTGATCAGAAGGCAGTTGTTTTGAGAACTGCGCCAGAATCAAGGCAGTGGAATGAAATGTACGAGCAGGAATACCAGGCACGTACTATCAGACTGAGGGAACGGCAAATCAGAGATGAAAAGGCGTTGATGTCGGCATTGAATGGCTTGTCTATTGGTGAAGCAAAAGATGCGAATGATGATTAGGACGTAGTACTATGAGATGAAAGGGACTTTGGATATGGGAGGTGAAGCGGGCGGTCTTGGTCGATATTTGGGATCCTCTCCTTCAGGGAATCTGCAGGATGATATTGGAGTTCGTGGGCTGACGCATCTGGGTCTTTTCTGAAACGACTCTTTTCTTTTGTGTTGCATGGCACATTCACTTGTCACCATTTCTCAATCATTACATGCGAAGAATGGTTTATATTGAAAGACCTCAAGGTCCATCAGCTCAGATGTACCAAGTCAGAGGGTACTACTCAATACATTTGGCAATGATAGGTAGAAATCATCTACGATATAGCCTCTCTACAAAACGGCCTGAGGATGTGAACTTTCTTGATCTTGCATGCACATGATAACAGATTTGGATATGGACCCACACTAGTGTTGAGTTTCACTTGGACTGGTACCCCTGTCCCAATGCTTTGAGTGATAGTGCTTACTTGGTCAATTACCTTGCAGCCAATTTCAAATTGAAAGGTGCAGCTTTTACCAAGGCAATGCGTGTCTGAAATAGAAGCCTCAGCAGCAGAAATGAAAAAAGCTGCAACACAGCCAAGAAAACGAACACTGACTGAGCAATCTGACACATAATGAACAACACGGCGCAGAAATCAATCGAAGAATTCACGGTGGCACGTCAAAAACTTTTGATTCTCGGTGTGCACATCGAAAGACAGCACTATCCATCTTAACAGCAAGCACCATTAGCAAAACGGTTAAGGCATCATAAAAAGAAAGAACGGCACAGTGTAACTCTTCCGTCATCTGGGAATCGACATGTGACCCAAGATTTTGGGCATCACTGATTGCTCAAACAAGAGAAATATTGCAACATTGTATTTTTGAGCCTTTACGAAGCTTCAATATGTCGCCCCGCCGGGCAATGTATTACGGTCAAAGGTAACTACTGCATTTCTATTGGATCCTGCTTGCGATAGTTGCCCTGTTTTTCTAGATCTTCTCAACAGGCTTTGAAATATGAGGATGCTATTGCGGTATATGAGCATTATACAACGGACGTGCTCAAGGTCTCAACTGACCACGAACACACCTGATCCCTACAATTCATAAGTTCGAACTTGGCACGCCAAAAAATTGGCTTTGGCAATGGGGAGCATTGAGATAAATTCAGAGCCTATAGAGCAGTGGTGGACCTGATCTTTCGTGTCAAAAGATCAACCAAGAGCATAGGAAAAACCATTCTACCTCAGGAGGTTAATATAGTAGATATGCCGAGATTTCTTGGTGTATCCGAACTTCCGGAGCGAAGATCGATCTGCATATGGATGGAAAGTCCCAAGAATGCGAGGACAGATAGCCCAGTTAACTCCAATTCCTTTACGCTAATGACTGCTATGATAGTAAGCGCAAAAATCAGGCCTGCCAGCTTAGAGAAAGCACACGCTTCGATGATTATGAATTTTGTCACCTTCGAAACTCATTCAGAGCGAACAAAACTTGCGTAAAAGGATACGCGAATCATGCGTCAACCATACACCGTGTAAATAGTCAAATGCAGCACAAACTTCTTGGTACAGCGGTTAGTATTGGAAAGAATGGTTCGGCCCTTTCCCTAACGTGATAGTCCCGTACATCAAGTTCTATATAGGGTAGCACAATGTAATGTGGAAGCTTTGTGATCCATGCTGTACGAGTAAAGTAGTATTGATGCCTAGTTTGCGGTAACTTGTGATCAGCAATGTATTCCTTGAGGCAAACAGTGTTCTGTCTTCATGACTGTATTGATGTCCTTTCTAGAATGTAATGATGAATGCTTGAAGCTGATTGAAGCGAAGTTTAGGTTCGCGGATGAGGTAAGCATGCTTAGTCATCAAAATTAGGGCTCTGTCGATCACGTTACACTGCAGCCTGCCTAGCATATACTATATAGAGAGTTATACACTTATACACTTAAGCTTTGTAGTCTTTTTGAACTCAAATATACAACTTCCAGACTTAAAGATGATGATATCTACCATTTCCCCACTAGCTAAATTGGTTAAAGCACTTTTAATTTCAAAGTAGTCCTTAGCACCATGTATCACGTGCTACCGACTTGACAGTTAGTACGATAATGTCGAAGAATACCAGGTTGACTTGTTGGTTTGTTGGTTTAGGGTAACAAGTAAGATCTCGGGTTCTCTTCCCATCCCCCGGATATCCTTACATCATTACCATCTGCTTATCATCTTATCTTGTATCAAGCAGCTCATCTCGAACACTGTGGGGTAAAAGCTCATCTGACGACGGTAGTTGTCGGTCTTACATGTGATATATCTTCGAGATATTGACGAAACAAAGCAAAATCGAATTGAAACTTGGATTATTCTCCGGCACGTCCAATCTTCATGAGCTGTCTATATTTCAACTCAAGCCCAAAATATGGTCGACACCGAAAGAAAAGAGTATATTAGCACTCTCAAAATGGTTAGAGCCGGATTAGTAATACCGAAGTTCTCCCTAGAACCGTTGGTTCTCTATTTCGTGCACCGATGTTACCCGACACGCCTGACTACTCACAGCCATCACAATGAATTAATGAAGATATATCTCGTGGAACATCGACATGACAACTTATTAACAGGAAGGAGTCAAACTCTCTTCATGTTCCACACGTACAGTGTACACATATATACTTGTTATCTGCTTATCGCAGTGGCTATCGGCGAAATCAGATCATTCATTCAATCGGCAGAAGTCTTCTGACCGAAGCTTGACGACTTGAAACATTTAACATCTACTTTTCTTGGAATCTCTTCCAAGGCTGACTCAACTGTATACAAACTGCCTGATCATATTATCGGGTAACGTTACAACAAGCTTCTTTGATTCGTTTCATTGAAACCCTTCGAGATCAATCTTTTTTCCTCTCAAGGGCTGCGTTGCACACCCTTGTTTCCTTCATCCCACCAAGTGGCTCATCGGCAATCTTCACCCCTGAAGATCGGTCGGGCATTTTATCACGCACGAAGGTTACCTTCCGCATTTTGATATTCAATAGCTTGCATGTGCCGGGAAAATGTAATTCCATGTGCCTCTGACATGCACCATCACTCGTGGTTTTAACTCCTTAATTTCTTCAGGTTCGGCGTCCGTGATGATGATTGGAATTTCTCTTGTCCCCGAGGAGGCTTATATCACATTTTCAATCCAAGGGAGGTATGAAAGTTCAACCCCGCGGATATTGAATTCCTCATTGAGAAGTCATTTTTGTAATCCCTTACCTCCTTTAGCAATGGGCTGTGTGAGTCTGGAGTGGCAGTTAGTCATTGAAATGTGGGAACCCCAGTCTTGGGATATTGTCAATATTGTCGTTTGACCTGTTACCTTTCAAGATTTCAATGTAAAGTTACCACCCGATCGACATATTGCGGTTTAGAAACTCAATTATGTGAGTAACCTTTGGTCACTGTGGATGTACCACAAATTCGCTGCGCCGTGGACGTCTGGTTATTGGCGGTGCGAATGAGGTGACACGAGTATAAGAAGGTCGGGTACTCCAGCTAAAGTGATGAATGGTCCGAATAAACAGCTCAAGACTCTAGTCCACATCAATACCTTCCATCATTGAACTTTTCTGAAGTTTCCGAATCTTGTTCTGTTTATAGAATCATTCAATCATGATTTCGCTTTCCAAGCTTGCTCCTTTAGTGAGCATTATCGCCAGTATTCCTTCCGTGATAGCGGGCTTCGATCCGGCTTCGCAGAGTAACGTGGCTGTGTACTGGGGTGAGCTAATCTGAAATTTTCTACCGTGAAAGAATTTCGGGTTGACATGGGATAGGACAAAACTCATATGGTCAGGGCTCTGGAGCTTATGTCCAACAACGACTTTCATATTATTGCGCAAGTAAGTTCTCAAAGCCTGATATTTACCAACAGAGCTAACATGAAACAGATACGGAGATTGATGTACGAACACCCTCACATACAAACCCCCCATGAACTAATCTAACGATAATCGTAGATCATCCCATTGGCATTCTTGTATTCTATCAACACACCAGTTCTCAATTTTGCCAACCAAGGAGACCTATGTACAACGATCTCAGGATCTACACTCTTTCACTGCTCAGAACTTGAGTAAGTACAGCGTCTCCCTCGTATTTGGATCCCATGCAGAGTCTAAAATTCATCATAGAGCCGACATAACTACATGCCAACAAACATATAATAAGACAATTTTACTCTCTGTTGGAGGGGCGACTTACACTGAAGGTGGTTTCACGTCTACAGCAGCTGCCATCACAGCCGCGAATAATATCTGGTCATGGTTTGGACCCTACAGCTCAGGAGTAGTCCGACCATTTGGTACCGCTGTTGTTGATGGCTTTGACTTTGACTTCGAAAGCACGGTATCCAACATGCCGGCATTCGCGAATCAACTTCGCTCACTGATGGACACAGATAATTCCAGAACATGGCTACTGTCTGCCGCTCCACAATGCCCGTACCCTGACGCAGCAGACGGACCCATGCTAAATGGAGCAGTATCATTCGACATTGTCTGGGTGCAATTTTACAACAACTACTGCGGAGTCCAATCCTTCGTCGCTGGCTCATCCACCCAAAATAACTTTAACTTCGATACATGGGACAACTGGGCCAAGACCGTATCCCTCAACCCTAATGTCAAAGTCATGCTCGGCATACCCGCCAACACTGGTGCTGGTGCTGGATATACTACTGGCTCCGCTCTTGCAAGCGTAATTGCGTATTCCAAGAGCTTCTCGAGTTTTGGTGGTGTGATGATGTGGGATATGAGTCAACTTTACGCAAATGCTGGATTTCTCGATGCGATCAATGCAGACCTTGGTAACCCAGCGATCACGGTACCAGTTACTACTAGCACTACTACTAGCACACCCCCATATACTACTACTACTGCTACGACGACAACCCCTGGTACGACTCTCACAACTGTGACAACTACTAGTGCGACTCCAACCTCTACAGGTGGCAGTGGACTTGTTAATGAGTGGAATCAATGTGGTGGACAGGGCTGGAATGGAGGAACCGTCTGTGTTCCTGGAACAACTTGTGTTGCCTACAGTATTTGGTATTCACAGTGCAACCCTTCTTAGATTCTTTTCTAGCGATCAGGATCGAGAGAGTTGTGTTTGGGAAGGGCAGGGTAGGGCAGGCCAAGACGGGGCAGGGAAACGAGATTTTTGTATAATGGCTTTTCTTTTTATATTTCTTTGAGACCGTTACAGATACCCATTTAGTTCTTTTGTACATATCCTAAGCTGCGGATTTATCCACCTGCTTGGTGGGCTCCCAGCTTAGCAAACCGCACATAGTATGACCAAAGGTGGTCGGAAAGGAAGTGGATGGTGAGAAGGGGGAGGATGGAAAGGGGGAAGGGGCGGGGCTTTTCTTTATATTCTTTCCTAACCTAGAATTTTTGATAGCTTTTTATTACATATTACAATTTACTATTACTATAATCCAGGAAGTGAAAATTTCAGATTGCTACTCACCAATATTCTTCAGATCCTCAATTGTCAGTTCAGTAGCTCTAAAACCGGAAGTTGAGTTACTTTCCATTCTAATCATCCTTCTCTTTCTATACATTGAAATGTTTTCCATCATGGTGCTACTTACGTAAAAATCTATGACCCAAGACCACAACAAGCCCACAGAAGCTTCGGTAGCATATAGAAATATCCTTATTTCAAATCTCTAATTTCGTAATGCTGAATTCAATCTATTACGTCAAGTATTATTATACTTTCCCACTGTGAACTCTCACTTTGAGATTTGTACTCAAAACAAGGAAGAGTTGGACTCGAATATGATGCACTGTTAGTCCAGACTCTTTTGGGCCAGATCGGCGTGCTCCGAGTTATATAGACTAGGAGGACTTGGTAAATCAGAAGATCTAGACTAAATTAGACTTCAATGCTAAGGTTAATCCGGGAAGGCGTTGAAATGTAGATCATTATTGGTATTGATAAATAAATTTGGACGAAAAAAATATAGATATAAATATTATCGAGGTGGGATTTTTCTGGGGGAAATTTAAAGAATTTATTTTAATTATAGGTTTTTCTAATGCTTTAAGGTTGTAATATTCGACTTCTCTTGGGTGAGTTTGCAGATAGGGTTATGTGACCGATGGTAGAGGTACTTTACAGAAATAGGCAAGACTAAAGGAGATAGCATCATCTACTAGAATTTTAGAGTACTGCTAGTTAAGTGATCGGCGATGTTAGGCTCAATAGTATAGCAGGTGCAATTGTAATGAAGCTATATATACTTTCACTTTCACTTTCAATACAAACCAACCTTCTTTACACTTACAATATAAATTTATAGAGACCTATACAGGGAATAGGTTCTTGAAAAGATTTCTGATTTCAAGATCAAAGATCGAAGTTCAATATTCTCAAATTTTTCCTTTTGCTATCAAAGCTTTTGAATTCGATTTCGATTTTTTCGATAATTACCTGCCATTACTGAAGATTGAAGATGTCCTCCTCGATCGGCAGCGTGCCTTAAAATTCACTCTTACAATCCAAAATTCCTTGTCATTCCTCAAATCTGCCTTCGCCAACAGAGGCTCAACTGCGAATAAACTCTGGCCGATACACATTTTTTCGCAGTATTATCGTTTAAGCCTTGATTAAGGCATGTTTCCGACACGATCGACGGATATCCGACAAATCTGAGGCCTGATGAGGCTTTAGTACATTGGTTCCTGGGTGCGGATAGAATACATTGGTTTTATACGATTTTGGAGCTGCTAGCTTTGACGATCGTGGCTGGGATAGCTTCAGAGCTTTACGAATTAGAATTGTTGGGAATAATACCCTTCTATTTGCCGATTTATTCCTACTGCAATTGGACGCTCTCGAATTGTGTAAAACTACAGCGGCATTTTTGAAAATGTCAAACTTAGGCTCTTGTCTTGACAATTGGTACCGAGAATTCTTAGATCCCAGACACCAGATAGGGTGTTAGACAGCTGGAAACAGGATTCATTGCCGTCACTTAGAAAGGCAATATACAATCATCCAGATACTTTCCTCGTATCTTTCGTTGCAGCTCTTCCTGCACTCAACGGCCTAGCGAGTGATCAAGAAAAAAACAAAGAGACAGATCCTCCAGATATTAAACTTTATGAGATTATCGAGCAGCTGGCACCAATGGAAGTTTGTTTATTGGATCTTTTATTTTGTGTGGTTTCGATAGCACTAAGGGAAGGAATGGGAAAAGTCGGAAAATTGAAGTATGGAGAGTACATATTAAGAAGTATTAGCTCTGAGGGTTTCTATTGCCATCTCCCCTGTTCAGTACTCCGGATCAGACTGGCATGTGAATACCCATTACACCGCACCATTTGCACGGCGCCGTTTGCACCGCATCATTTCCACTGCACCAGTTGCACCATGCAAAAGGGTTACTTAATCCGTACAACGCTTTAAATTCGAAATTTCTGGAGCGGAGCACATAGCCAGAGTGGTTGCTAGGATAATGGCTAGGGAGGGAATCCGGAGGGCCCCTGGAATGGCAGGAAGAGCGGCGGAGGGTTTGTGCGAATGGCCGATCGAACGGAGGAGGTCTTTATTGTTATAAACCACTTATATTAAGTTATATACTTTGTATGATGCTTTGAGCAAGAGGCATATTGGTGGCTATAGCGATATTAATGGGAGTTAGAGTGTAGGATTTTTAATGGCAAGGGAAGGGATGTGATGTTTTGTGAAGTGTAGCGATATTCGCTACAGGCAACGACAATACAGGCATATGCAACCCTTGTAATGCAGCAGGTGCGGGGACAAGATTATGGGTTGTAAAAGCTGTAGAATTCCTAATCTAAAACAAGAGCTATTTAAGAGCAAGTAATCACATTTGTGGCGGCTGTTGCATTGTATACAATGCATGCGTCGCAGTTGCCTGTGACGCAAGAAGTGCTGCCACAGCAGGCGTTATTGATGTACTTCACCCTTAAATAGAACCTTTTGTAGTATGAGAATGAGATAGCTTTTACAATTTTTGTATCGAATCTCTCTACAAGGAGAGTTTATAAAATAATAAAAGGTTTTACAAAGAATTTCATAATGAAATGGTTTAGATTAGTCATTGACCTGACCCAAGAGGTGCCACAGCTACCAGCCACTGTGGCTTGCACGCCACTGCACACCTCAACGTTTCAAAGAATTTTACTTTAGAATACAATCATTCATTACTAACTACCGGGTCTAGGTTTATAGATAACGTGGTTTATCAGCGAGCGGGCCATATCACCGAGCGGGCCACTTTTACCTCAATTTATCATTTCAAACCCATATTATTTAACAACAATTAAATCAATTGATTGAAACTATCAAGAATCTAATAATCTAGGATCTATTATACTATTCTGATAATTTCTTGAATTATGACCAGTCTTTCCACATTTACTACAGCATCGACTAGTAGATGATTCCCCATGTGACGGAAAAGTCGTAAACGGAGTCAATTCAATCACTTAGAATCTAAAACTAAAGAACTAAGAAGATTCTAAGTAAGAAGGTCTTTATATACAGGGCTAGTGCACGTGAGCCACTAGTGGGTAACAACCGTCACGTAACAGAATTGGTAAGTTTCAAAGAGGTAGATGGAGAGGTAGAAGTACGAATCCTAATATCTAGTTTTGAAAGTATAGATTAAGGATCGAATAATATTAGATCTATTCTTCGAAAACCAGCTTTCATATTCTGAATAGTAAATGATTGTAAATATACAGCTTTAAAGACTATAACAAATTCAATCTTAGTGATATAATTGATATAAGCTTCGATAAATCCTTCAATTTAATAATCATATAAATATTTGTTGACCTCCTGGGATCTTGGCAGTATATATATATATATTGTATGATGTATATAAAGAACAAACAAAACTCAACTTTTAATTCATTCTTTCCTTTTTGGTATACTGTTTGTTTGCTTTCAATATTTTGATTTCAAAGCACTTTAATTCCGAAGGCCGAATACCTAACTTTATTCCTTCATTTTTTTTGTATATATACTCGCAGCTTAACTGCTTAGCTAGAGAATCAATCAATTCAATCTGATGTTCTTTCTGGTCTCAATAAACCCAATAATATTTGAATATGTCAAAACATTCAACATCAAGTGATTGAATTAAATGACTTGGGTATAATAATAATTTGAGGTATATAATATCATTTGATTTGCAATATGATTGAAAAGGTATTGATTCATAACTTTCGTACTTATCCAATACTAGTATTCGATATTTGCTCTTCTTTTAACAAATAATATATTTATCAAAATGCTTTAATTATTCTAATCCTATCTTATTACTTGTTTATCTATTGAAAGTAGATTTAATAACCCAATCTGCAGGAAAATCGGTTTCGATATATCAATTGAAAAAATAAACTTATCCTTGAACTATCAGAAATAAAGGTATAATTTCATTTTCTTTATTATTATATATAATTGCTATAGCCCACTCTCGATTGCTTGATTGTATTGTCTTGCTTCTGCTATTTCGTTCAGCACTAATTACAATCATTCCAGAGTATATTATACCCATCATAAAGCTGGTTTCGTCGAAATTGTAGAAACCACAATCTTGAATACCATATTTCGCCCATATATTCGATACTAATCGAAATCATTCTTTAATAAGCTTAGGATCTTCACAAAAAGCTTTTTGGAAATTATAAATACAATTAAAACACATTTTTAATTCTAGACATTATTTGACAAAGCGATGAGCCCAAAGCTTTCCAATCTTCTATGTATCTCGCGATTCAAGGATATAATTCGTTATATCTTCTACATTATTCAATTTAAATACAAACCCTCTCTTATTCATATCGATTATATATTGAATAAGTACTTCCTCTTTTAATTTGGTCAAATTATAACTATTTGCTCGAGATTCAATACAGGGGGTAGAATCATCCATTCTGTACTGAGTCTTTATACACAGGATATTATATAGCTTAGCAATCTTCCGGATACTTAATTTTTGGTCTTTATTGATAGCTTCGATAGCTAAAAGTATTCGACCTTCTTGATTATTCGATTCCATAATATATTGTTGATAAATCGTGTATTGAAGTTGAAAGATATAAATTGAGGTAAAAGTGGCCCGCTCGCTGATAAACCACGTTATATGTTATTAATTCAACAAGCAAACTGTTGGTACGAGAAGGATACGGAAGACGTAGCACCCACGGATTACGTAGGTCCTGTATGTCTAATTGTATTCTGTCTAAAGAGCTAGCTACATATTGAAAGTAGTAAGTCTTATATAGACTTACTAAAAGAGCTAGTCTCTTTCGCGTTCGCTTAGTTCTTTATTACAGTAGTAATTGAATTGAAGTCATTCACTTCGTTCACACACAAACCATCAGCATTGTTATATTGATCATTATATCAAGCTTAAAGTCGTCATAGTATCCTTCGACCCAACTATTCCACTGGTCTAGCAAATAGAGCTCTCGCGGTTCCTACCTCATCATTCATAGAAGTGCTCGAGCATATACAGTCCAACTAATATTGAGCATATGCAAATGCGAAGCTAAGCATTGATTAAGTAGCACATGCAGACCACCTGTTGACCTCCTGTGATCTTGGCAGCATATGCATATATATTGCATGATGCATATAAGGAGCAAACAAAACTCAACTTTTAATTCATTCTTTCCTTTTTGGTATACTGTTTGTTTGCTTTCAATATTTTGATTTCAAAGCACTTTAATTCCGAAGGCTGAATACCTAACGTTATTCCTTCATTTTTTGAATATATACTCGCAGCTTAACTGCTTAGCTAGAGAATCAATCAATTCAATCTGATGCTCTTTCTAGTCTCAATAAACCCAACACCACCTATCTGCTGCGCAATACCTTTACGTAGCAAGCTTCCCAGGTGAACAGCCTCTGCTCCAGAGAACAAGGGTGTCAGGAACATCGACCAATAGGCTTACAACATCGACATGTATAATTTATACACAGGCTCCAACAAACTTATTGAACCATTCAGCACGCCGATGATCAATCGGTGCCCTTGCTTTCCGTAAGCCTTCCTCCGTTTGCATTCTCTCCACAAACATGCTCATAGGAACCCAGCGCTCATCTGCTTGCCACGAATTCATGATGGCAGCGGAAGCGTTTCGGGTACTTCCGTAGTCATTATTCATGAAGTAGGTGATAACTCCGTCCCATAACAAAGTGGGCAATCCATCGATATTACCCCCAACCATAGAATATGCTGCTTCCAACAAGATTCCCCTCGCACAGATCGTCTAGGAGGCCACCCAAGAAATGTGAGCTAGCTTTCACTTCTTTCAGGTTCATGAGATAGCAATGTGACGAGGACTCATTCAATCGAATATATGCTCCTTCTGGCATTGGTGCCAGATTTTCCTTCTTGGGGCTAGTTGGCCCACTTGACGTGTGCCTCTCTTCAAGTTGAGATGTATCGGCGGTTGAATCAATGGCGGCTCTTGCTTTCTTCTCCACCACGTTAATTTCAGTTTCAGGAGATGCTGGTCGCTTTGTCGGTTTCTTGGTGTCTTCCACGTCGGCGGGTGGCAGGGCAAGACGAAGTTTAATAAAGGGCACCAGCTGCTTGCGCAAATGCAAATCGCTCTCCTCGCTGGCACCAAGACATTTTGCAAGTAGTCGGACATTCTCAACGTCATTCGTTTCAGCCGTCATATAAGAGGTATAAGGAAGTGGCTTTTTGCTCAGAAATCGCACGAGGCAATGAGTGTATGTCCAAAGCCTCTTGCTAGACCAACCAAGAAGCGCTTCATATTCTGGCTTTTCCTTGATTCTCCAAGAAATTAACTCCTCCATGTAAATGATCTTTTCGCATCGTTTCATGGTTGTCTTCGTGGATTCTGGATCGTAAAAAATAAGATCTCTGTTTTCAAGACGGCCATGACATTTCTCATTGAATATGGAATAGAGAACGGGTAAGGCCTCGAATAATGGAGCCTCAAATACCCTTTCAAATCGTGGCTTTTCTCTAGTTTTATTCATGTAATAGTATGCCTGAATTACGATTGTCCTGGCAGCAATTTGACCCATAACATCATCTCTAATGGTTATCTTAGCCTCTGGGTCTTCATTCCTCGTCGCGTGTTGGGGATAAAATATCACTTACGCGCGAACTGAATTTGGTTCAAACTCTGGTGCCCCAAAATTCGCTGTCATTTTTATGGCTTACGAAAGCTCTGCAAGAATAGATTTGAGAATGGAACTCTCTCAAAAAATTAGGCACACTGGTTAACTTTGAGCCTGTCGTAATGATGACAACACGGGTTGTTGACCCACAATATTTACAACACATGATTCACTACAGCCAATTACTGTCATCCAGAATATGCTGACGTGAACACGGGCATGTCTTTATTAGTTGTTATTTCTTATCTCTATCTGTTTCAGCTACAAAGATACTCACTAATAACTCCATCGCGATTGAAACATAATATTAGTAAAATACGGGTATTGGCGTTATCCTATACATTAATTCTTACTACTACCCCATACATACTTTCAATCCACCAGAGAATGATATATGAGATGAAGTGACTAGGCAGTTATTTTGTGCCCCGCGTTACTTAAAACACTTTTTCTTTTCAGAGCCTCACCTACTCATGGCATGAAACCATTGATAAAGCTTCTGGATTATTGCGGACCGGATGAAAACGGTACTGGCCATTGTCTTTATTCACATCAAGGATATGAGTTTTGAAGTTCTTAATATACAGGTATCTGGAATTGAGGCTCGTACTTTGCTCTGTTCCAGCTACTGGCAACCATAAACAAACTGTCACATGAAAGAATCAAAGGCGTTTTACATTTTTCAGAAGTTTTCATTTACGATAATAAACACAATTGGAGTGTTTCAAAATCATGGAGCACTCAATTTGTATGACTCCTGACAAAAACGATATATTCCACCAATTCTATCTTTTCGTTTGCACCCCGATTTCAGCATCCTGCAAGTTTAAAGGTGCTTTGAGGCTGAAGGTTAGATTTGACAGATCGTTTCAAGTTGGAAAGCATAGCAGTGAATTGTGGGAAAGGGAGATATACTTCTGTCACGATGGCGCTGAGAAACGGTAGCGAGCGTATCTATCTTATAAGTCTACTAAATTCCTTCAACGTTAAAATTTTAAGACTGCATCAGACAGTTTTCTGTAATAGTTTAGTGCTACCAGCTAACTCAAATATCTGACGAGCTAAGTAAGAATGACTATCAAACTAAAACCTTAGATGCAGAAATGCTAGCCTTTACAAAAGTATGGAAATAGCTGGCAAGCACCAGATCCTGCTTGTTCCAATTCTGCCACAAAGCCTGATCTAGCTGACATCGCTCAATGAACATCACGATAGGTGCCCAGCGCTCATTCTCACTACATTATAGCATCTTCTCCACCACGTTCCTAGACAGACTGAAACACTTCAGTACTTCGTCCCAGAGCAGGGTAGGCTTGCCGCGACGACTTCTCCCGATCACTTTTGACACGTCTCCAGTAGTGAATGCACCGGTATGTAAGTCCTGTAGGAGCCGACCAACTAGTCCTGAACCCTTCATTACTGATGATCTCTTTACATGGAGAACGCGCGGATATGCTTCGTTGGGGCGCTGGATATACGCATCTGTTGGCACAGACGGAAGTTCCTAGAGAGTAGTGGTTGATTGGTTTGGTTTCTTTGATCTCCATTTGGTAGGAGGGGGTTGACGTGCTTTCTTCGAATTTCGTGCAGTAGGAATTGGTGAGGTTGGTCTATCCGGCTTGTTCAAATTAGTATCTGACTACGTTGGCTTTTTCGAGTTCTGCTGAGCGGGGTCGACTTGTTTGATTCTTTAGACTTTTGTATAGTAGATTTAGGTTGCATCTCTTCCATCGATTCCTTTAGAGTAGGGGTTGGGTGCGATTCCTTCTTCAGCCTTTATAGAGAGGAGCCAACTTTGGTTTTTTCCTTCGCATTCAGCGTCATAGGAGGTGACTGGCTTTCTTTCTCAAGTCTCTTCGGAGTGGAGGTCAATTGATCTTTATTCAACTTCTGTGAGCTGCGTGTCGATTGAGTTTCTTCCTCTACCTTCACTTGATCAAAAGCCTTCTCTTCGGTCAAGTCAACAATCTCAGATTTCTTACATTTTTCTATTTTGGCTGGTTTTGCTTGCTCTAATGTTCCATTTTCTTGGTCTGACCTACCTTCAGAATTTGCGAGCTCTAACGGAGGAACTCATCGCATGTATTAAATTAATGCGCTGCGCACAACTCTGTCTTTGATTTCCGTGTATCCAAGGTATGCTGCTAGAACTTCAATACTTTGCAACTCGATGGCCCAATGCTTTTGTGCATGACCCATCTTGGAGTCTGTAGATAAGGGCTTTCCGTCCAAGAAGCGTACAAGGCAGTCCATCAATATCCAAAGAGTTGAGGTATTCATTTAGCAATTTGGTCGTATCCTGGGCGGCGATACTAGAACTTCAACTCAATTATATTGTACATGTGTACTATCTTTCCCGGGACTTTTGAAAGCCCAGGCTTGTCTGTTTTTGCGTGTTCTGGATGGTAGCAAAGTTGATCCTTTGAGTCTTTCAAATTCCATTGCGTTACAAGTCAAACAACGAACGGATCAAAGGTAGTTTATCAAAGATAGTTGCTTCTGATGCTTTGATCATACGGGTCTTTTCCTTGTTATTCTTCAGAAAGGTTGCTTTGAAAGTAATTACTTTCGAATGTCTCTGGTCCTTATATACGGTGCTAATAAAAGAAAAGTTATTAGTATTTGGTATATCAAGATCCAAAGTCAATTTCACATATTACAACATCAAATAAAAACTCCTGCAGATCAGAAAGAATGATACAGCGCTTACAGATTGTTTGCGCTATCCGATTTCTTGTCTTTTGAGGAGTTATTCATCATTTCAGTGACGGAAATGTTTTGATATAAAATCGGCTTGAATTTATATTTAATAGTTTGTAATAAAGTTGAGGTGAGTTGGAAGAGGTTGAGGTTCAATTGGGCTTTCACGACAAGTAGCTGCAACAGGAGACAAGTAATTATCACGTGATATATCGCCTAGGCTCGGTTATATCGGTAGACTAAAGGCTTAGCCTTGCAAATCATTACATTTTCCGGAAAGAAATAACCCAACATAGTTCCCATTATCTTGACTCATATTTGTAAAGTAAGGAGCCAGACCTAAGGTGGGCAGCATAGGAAATTTTACTTCGTTCTACCGGCTCAATTTTTGTCTATCCGCCTCGGAGGCTAAAGCTTAAGCCTGGCTCACGCCAGAAACAACGAATAGCAAAGCTAATAGACCTTTGTTAACTGCAAAAAGCTACGTTTCGATCTTAAAGTGATATCTTCAATTTTTTACTAAGGTTTCGAATTAATACTAATAACAACCGCTCTCGCTGAACTTCAACTCTGTCTCCACCAGAACCACACAAGTTTCCAGCACAGTTGATCAGAGGCCAACAATCACTTCAGAAGCAAATCCATTATAGAAATTAGTCTGCAGATTCTTACATCACCAAAACACATGATAGTGACTCGTCAAAACGAGAGTTATCAGAGCTGGGAGAAATATATTCAGGACTTTGGCAAAGGACATTGGCCGTAAGTTATCTCAAAGAGTCACAGAATGTTATTCAAATAAGTTCCAGACAGTATCCACAACAAAATCATTTAATAGGTAAGAATGGTTACCTTCGTGGGCAGAGATTAATAGGTTAACCTCAAACTAACAGAGTTTCATCGAGCCTTCAGCATCAATCCGCAGCCACTTCCAAAATTAGCAATCATCTAAATGCTATGGACCCTGTTTAGCTTGATGAATCTGATGCCCTTCGGCCACTGCGATGTAAAAAAGCCTAGTTGGCCGATTCATCTGTAAGTTAGATATAATGTAGCGGCGGAGTGTGGCACTAGCTGGTTTAAAATACTCACTCATTACTGAAACTAAAGCTAAAGAAATTGAGGCGGCAAGGTAACTTCAGCAAAGGCTTTCCGCGCTAGTGAAGCCTACTTCAACACTTTAGCTGTTACCTTCGAAGAAGCGTGGGAGCCATCTTCTAAAAGGTACAAACCGCCTCCTCTGGAGATATCTAAGCCTTCTCAACCCGATAAACCTCGTCCACAGTTCCATGCTTTGTCAATAATTGATAAAGGAGACATCCTTGATGGAAGCGTCGAGGACGTACTGCACTCTGTAGCTCCAGGTCACGGTCCACACAGTAGTCAACTCCTGAAAGCCCCGTCGGAAAAAAACTTAATGTCCGATCCTGGGGTTTAAGAGAACTAAATCGTTGGAAGCGACACATATAGGAAACAGGAAGGAGTCTTAAGAGCACCAATAAAGGCCCTCAAACTTGTGATTCTGAGCATGAACAAGCCTGATGCAAGTCACTACGAAGTGGATAATTCATATTTCGCACTGTCCGAATCTTCACTACTTGAGGCCATTATCTACGATATACCTCATTCTATTTAGCAACCCAGAAGATTGAAGGTGGTTATCAAGTGGATGCACACACCGGTTCTGCGCAACAGATCTTCTTGGCATTATCTTATGGTATAACTTATCAACAACGAAAATATACGCCATTACAAAAAATTTTTGGGTATTAAGATATGTTTAGGACTTTTTATATGCTCCAAGTATCCAACTGTCTTCTGTAGATTGTGTTTTTCTTATGTTTTCTTTGCCCTCGGCAGAATGTGGGTGGGTCTGGGCCTCGTCTGTCTCAATAAGCGAAAGTTTTGCTACCAGTGACATCATCAATCTTCGCTCTGTGTGACTTTGATCTCGCGTACACAACATACGGTGGACTTAGAATTTATCGCACGATATAGTAGTAGTAGCAAATTCATAATCGATTTGATCTAACTATAGCTAAGGCTATGCGGACGATATATATAAGGACATTGTTCTTCACTGTTATTAGACGCGCATAGAACATTTTTGCGATCAACAGAAACATGACATGTTTGTTACACAACTCTCATTATTACTGATTATTAAGCAGCATCTGGAATATTGGAAACTGCAATCTTTTGTGTTTGGAAAATTGTCCTAATATGTTCCTAGAATAACTTTATTAATCATGAAAGCAATAAATGTATTCCCTGCTACGGATTAAGCTGGTTGATGGGCTAGTTAACTAAAATTGTCCAATGCATCATGGAGCCTTCTGCTTGTGTATATCGGCCTTAGATGCACTCACGTCACGTCAATATGGATAACATGGCCGTTCATAAAAGGAATAGTTGATTAAAATGTTGAAGACTGAACAGGAATCTTCGAAGGCTGAAATACGTCTGTACACTTTATTTACCAAGCTCCCACCACATTTTGAAGAAGATCTTGTGGCAAGTTTCTTTTTAAATCGAAGCTTACAGAGACATTTCAGTCAATATATGGATAAACAAAACGATTGACGCAGTAACTATGCGCTGATTCGTGACAATTCCAAATTTTCAACCTTCTAAATCACGAAAGACAACAGAAGGGTCATTGGATTTGGCTTCTAACCTGCATTTGACTGAATTATTGTCTTCCAAGTCGTATACCTGACAAAAAATTGCATTTTCCACTCATTCTGCGTTCTTGTCTTTAAAACAACGATCAAAGTATGTCTTTCATTCCCTTTTCTTGGGATCCTCCCGCAGAGTTTTCCGACTTGGCTCTTTCATGCTATGCTTCTAGAGCCATCGCATTGCGCGATCTTTTTTGCTCATAGAGGTTCCAGATCCAAGTATGCCCACTATTCCTACACCTGCCTCTCCTACCATTAATTTCTAATGAATGGTGGATTCTGGTGGTTTCCTAGCGGTGGATATCCACTCTACATTAAGCGAATCAAGCTTGGGAAGAAACGCTACCCATATCAATTTCTGACCCAAACAAATTTCTTTCATGGAGTAGTCCAAGCCATCAGGATGATTTTAACAGATGCCTGGTTTGTGTAGTAATTACCCTTAGTAGGCCTAGTCCTCCTTGTGGTTGATAATTATGTCATCGGATACTACACCACGGATTGAGTCTTGAGCGGCCATCCCAAAGAGACGACTGACATTGACATCTCAAAGGATTGAACTTTTCCCCATTGAGGCTTTTATTTGGGGTGAACGAATGCGAGGTGCCTAGTTCCCTGAGGCAGCCATCATCCAGGATGTGGTTCCAGACATGGCTTCCAAGGCACTAGAGCCTTGGCCAGAATGGATTGGTGAAACTTCTAAAGATTGTGTTTAGCAGAATTTTGAATTCTTTGAGAAGGCAAAGTTGGTTTAGACTTTCATTAGTTCAATAGATCAGTCTCTTACTATATGATCTATTGTGTAGATACGTTCAAATGAATACTCAGTTTTTGTTGAATCATACATATTTTGACTAAAGGAGAAGAGAGTGAAACTAGGAGAAGTCTGGTGGAGGAGATTGGGTGATACAGTATGAGTTTGTTAGGATTGTAAGATTCATCAATGGGTATCAAACATTCAGCATAAATGATCGTGTTTTGGCGAACCACTGGGTGCAGAATCAAGGATCAACGCAAATGCAATCCTGTTGATAGATATGATGAGAGAAAGTAAGGTAGATAAAGATTGACCTTGAAAGGAAAGCTATGTGACTAGACGATTGACTTCTCAAATTTCTTGCTTCTCCTGTTCATTCGCACATAAAAGGCCACACATCCTAAGATGACAACCAAAAATAAGCCCTTCTGCATGAGAGTGTAACCTGCCTCATCGGCATAACCAAACTCCTCTGTTTCTGTTTGTGGGGTACCGACAACTGCGATAGGTGGAATGACTGCGGTGGCAGCATCAGGAGTAGAAGTATCGATCGGAGTAAGTGGAACTTCGACCTCCTCCATACCGTGTTGAAACTCGGCAGTACCGTATTCATCTGCAGCACGTAAGACAGACGAATCAGTAAGTCCTCCCAATGACACTCGCAGCATTTCCGCGGAAGGAGTCTACTCTAGAGTTCCACGTGGATACCTTCTTCTGGTACTGGTAATTCCCCGCTCTCGGTGATCTTGACAGCGTCAACTGGTCTGTCTGATGCTCCCTTCTTTACGTTCTCGATGGCTTCGACAATCTCGTAGCCCTCCAAGACTTCGCCAAAGACAACGTGTCTACCGTCAAGGTGACTACAAAAAAGTTAGAATAAACAGTTCTTACAAAAAGGAATAGAATAAGTAGACTTACGATGGAGTAGAGGTGGTAATGAAGAATTGGGAGCCATTGGTGTCTTTTCCGGCGTTGGCCATGCTGAGAAGACCTTTCTTGGAGTGCTTCAACTTGAAGTTCTCGTCTGGGAACTTAGCTCCGTAGACTGTCCATTGTTAGCACCCCACATATCAATCGCAGACTTTATAACCTACTTGATTTGCCTCCAGTTCCATCACCCTTTGTGAAATCACCTCCTTGGATCATAAAGCCCTTGATAACACGGTGGAAGGTAGAGTCCTGGTATCCGAAACCCTTCTCGCCAGTTGCCAAAGCTCTGAAGTTCTCAGCGGTTTTGGGAACAGTCTTGCCGTAGAGGCCTAGAACAACACGACCCATAGGTTCATCGCCGTGGCTGATATCGAAGTAGACCTTGTGGGTGATCTTTGGTCCTTTGACAGCTTCAGCCGTTTGGGCAAAGAAGAGGAAGGTAACGGTTAAGATAAGTAGTGCAGAGACTACAAAACGTTGAAGAGTGAACATCTTTAAAGCCAATTGGATGTCGACTTGTGTGATTGTAAGTTTGGAAATAAAGTATGGTGTCGCCCAAGAAAGAACTTAAGAGGACGAAGTGAAGAGGATATGTGTTTCGGAGAGGTGTCGATTAGATTTAGCGCGGGGTGGCACGTGCAAACCTCGGATTGGGAAGGTCATACCAAGAGGTCCGTGCATTATCAAAAATCATCAACTTCCAACGTTCCTCGCCGTCTTTGATTTGTTGTGAAGGCACATATCCTCACTACTTGTAGCATTAGAATTCCTTGAAGATGGTACGTGTGTGCGAATTATTTCTATCGTTGGAGTACTAACGTCGTTTGGAGGTTTTCCTCCTAGGAAACTCGTTTGCCGAAAGAATTTTGGTGAAGGTAAGACCTCCCCCTCATCTCCAATTGGCACTCATATTTTTGGTTCGCGTTCTTATGGCATATAGAAAGCTCTGGAGTCATTTTATGGCTTGGGAAACCAGTATTCTACACGCATTATGGCCAAGCATTATATTCATCCCACGGCGACAATCGGTTCCTTGTCGCAGAAAACAGTCACTTCTCTAACTGCTGAACTTTCTACCATGCCCCTAGAGACTGAATTGAGACGAAGGCTTCAGGATAACATTGAAAGAATGAGAACAATGGGTAGTTATCGCGGAAGGAGGCATGCCATGGGTCTGCCGGTGAGAGGACAGAACACAAAGGGTCAGGTATGTATAAACCTGCCGAGCGGGGTATGCAAAGCTGTAGATACTAATCGACGGTAGATTTCGACGGCTAGAAAGCTCAACAAAATGAACAGGAAAGGTTGAATGGTTTATACCGGGAATTTTTGTACAAATAAAATGGCATTGCGGGCGCATCTACATGGTTAGGCAGGCTGTACGAATAGTGATGATGAAATTAACAATGAATCACGCTTCGGGCTCGAGGCGTAAGGTTCCGGACAATAGGGACAAATGTAAAGAGGTTTTCTGATTGTCCGTAAAGTCTCAAGAGAAGCAAGAAGCTGTGTTTGCAGGACAACACCAGAATAACATATGAATGCAGGTATGATCACACGACTTTCAAAGCTTCGAAATCTGCAAACTTCAGAGTACCACTGCGCGGACATATTCATGGAACATTTCAAAGTTGAATACAACGGGTAAATTCACAATTTTAATTTTTTTTTGGATATCTTTCAACCTCCGTTGGATCATCCAAACTAGGACAAATAATGAGATCACACAAGTTGGATAAAATCAATTTCTTTTAAAAGACTTTCCGAGTTTGGGAATACGAAGAGCATTTTACGGATTCCTGCACCGATCAGACCAGTCGAGTAAGATATGACATTTTTGAAGCAATTACCACATGTTCTTTCAACTAGTAGTTCCCTCAGCCGGGTCATGCTTACCCACACTCTTTATATCTCCGGTCCTCCGCAGTTGAAAGTATAAAATTTGCAACTATTTCTAACGTTCCTTTTTTTATCGCGAAATTTTGTATAATGCTCAAGCGAGACGCTTCTTTTCCAGCTGACAACCAAAATTTTCAGCCATCAATTCATTCTCTATTCCTTTCCGTGGCTCGAGCAGATTTTCGCAGCATGAGTTAAACTTGCCATTGATTATTCCCAAATAATGGGCTTAGTCCAGCACATTTCCAATGTCCATATCAATACCCATACATTGAAGGGCGACAGATCCTCCGAATTTCGTCAAATCGTTGTTCATTGGCGGACTCTTAATTCCCAGGCCTGTGTTTCCCCCTTCCTGGTTTGAGTTAAACGCAACTGAAACCGCATCGTCCCAGTCCTTTTGCGAAATTATGCCAAGATGAGCTCCCTGGTTTGAGTTAAATGCAGCGGAAACTGTGCTGTTCCAATCCGTTTGTGAAGTAATTACACCTATATTTGGAGTGTTGCTTACATTTGAATGCAGCAGCGCCGTCTTATTGGTGGCAAAAGGGAAGCCTTGTAAGGTCGACTGATTGGTATTATAAGGCTCCCCGGAGTTCGCAACAGCGCTGCCAGGGGAGCCTTTGCTTAAAGCACTAGGTGAGAACTCCGAACGAGGTGTGGAAATTCCATAATCAGCAGATGTTAGATTGTGCTGTGGCGTCTCATGACCTACTGCTTGTCGCTTTTGCCGTTCGTGGCTCAACGTTTCTGCGGAAACTTTCGTGTATCGCCGCTTTCTAGGGAGTGCCAAATCGGAAGCTTGTTCAATTGCAGGAGAAGACCTAACCATGAAATTTTGAGTTTGGCGGGAAAGTGGATGAAAAGAACCTTTTTTTTGGAGCCGTGGGATAGCAATCTTCCGAACTGGCGGAGGTACTGGCTGAAAAAATCCATTTTGTTTATTTGCAGAGGTTTGAAGCAGCATACTCAGAGCAGGCGAAGGTACGAATCCTGCCTGTTCTAGTCGAGGTGCAGATGGAATGATTGCCGGATTATTTTGCGCGTCTGAGAATAAAAAATCATCCCGCTCATCATCCGAGGAACCTTGGTCAAACCCGCAAAACGAAGTATAGTGCGAGGCGCAGCCTAGTTTTCCAACTTTTCTCAAGCTTGCAGGAAGCTCAGCTGCTATTTGGTTTTCGGTGAAAGAGGTCGTAGCAAATGAACAACTGAAACTAGGGGAGGCAGTAGACGGACTTTGACGTTCTGTGAACGACGATGCCGGGGTCGGCGGAGCTCCAAATGTCCCAGATTGTGTGAGACTTTCTTCGATGGCTGACAAAGGTGGAGGCATTCCGAATGAGCTGATGGCTTCATTAATTGCGACGATTTCTCTTTCTTCGGTGGGTGTCAATGGAGGGTGTATCATTAATGAGCTGGTGGCTTGATTGAATATTGTCATGTCCGCCAATACCCACCATCTCTGGCACTGCATGTCCACTTGAAGCAAGGACTCTGCCCAAAACTCTGTATAATTTGTCAGCTTTTCCTCGTTTTATGCGTCTTGTCCGAGTCTTACCATCGATGGATATCCAAGGGGCGCCTGTCCGATCATGTTCCTCTACCCAAGCGGTGATATCTTCTGTGTAGCGGACCAGCAATTGAAGCATTTCGACGAACTCAGGGTCGCTAGGTATTCTGACTAAATTGATACAACTGTTAGCACAGGTTTCTACTCTCAACAAATTGTCTCGCACCTCTCGGGTCAATCAATTCACCACCCATCTTCACACTGAAGACTTTGTGGATTATAGAAAGATAGTTCAGGAACATGTTGTTCAGATCTTTCGCCCGCTGAATTTCAGGGCGCCGTTCGAGAAGTTCTCTGAGAACTGCATCATTGTGTAAAGCAGAGCGCAAAAGCTCGCTCCATACTTCTGTTAAGTGGATGTTCATCATATCCATTGAAACAAGGCCCGCGCTGTAGTTGTTATGTAGGGGGAGAAAGACAGTTGAAAAAGGCTCCCGAGCTGTTGATGGTAGATAATCTGACTCTGACAATACTTTATGTAACTAAAAAAATTCACTTGTAGATCCCATTCATCCACTCGCTTTTGAGTGCACAGAATACATTCTCTAGAAATTTGTATTCTTGACAACCGGATTTCGCTAGAATTTTGGTGCTAGCTGCTGCACAATACGCTTTCGTTAACTCTACCCGATTGCCACATGGTAAATTATACAATCACAATCAAGCCCATCATTATTCTGCGCACTAGACGTTAAGATTGATTGGCTCCGAATTGAGGGGTAGGTATCTAAGCCTTGTCACCGTATTCATTCTGACCAGGTTTCATTGGTAACACTTTGGATGAGGATGAGTGGACTTGATTAATGCTATATTCAATGAGTAGCAGTTTTGCCAGATTCAATAAAAGTCACAAAGTTGAGAACTTTCTTGATTCCAAATCGCCAAAAACGAATGTGTTGAGCGAAAGGTCATCGTTGCCACGTGTACTAGCTTAGCCTTTTTACACTCTCCAACTCCAACAACTTCATCAGCAACAGGATAAACTACAAATCATTTTGCTGAGTTAAAAAAGAACAATTCAAAAGTTTGATGTTATGCCCTTACAATCCGTCCATTGATTGCTTGATTTTGAATCTTTTGATGAATAATTGAGAATATTCACCAAAAGTCAACGCCGTTTCCAATCATGACTTCTCATATGGAAAGGGAATTTTGAGCGGTGAATCTGGGCAATAATTGGATCTCCTCATCGTATCAAAAAATTAGCTAAATTCAAGATTTTGAATAATGGATCATTACTGGAGGATGACATCCTTCGACTTTCGCAACTCCTTTCAGCCAAAGACGAGTTTGAGATTAGCTGTGGCCAAGTCTAGTTCCCTGTCGTATCCTAGGCTGACTCCGCAATATCACGTCTTCGAACTGTGTAATCGGCCGCCTTCTGGCCTTTGTATGAACTTTATTATTGCCCTAGGGATATCTCGCACTCCCCCATAATATATTGCCTTTCCTTTTTCAAGCAGGGTGTCCAATAATCCGGATCACAATCACATGATTGAAAGCTTTTGGATTCTTGAATCTGTTTGAAATCTCTAAATCAAATATTCAAAGAATTTCGGCTATCGAAAACTACAATCTAATTTGCCGATCAGGAAGTGAACACTATGCTTTGGAAACTTACAGACATTTGCTCTAAACAAATTCCAAGCTTATGAGAAAAGGTCTTGAATATCTCCTATTCCTGTAAAGATACCAAGCCTGCTTTGGTAGAAACCCAGCTCACTATCGAACAATAACTGAATTCTTTGATTCCCCCAGGACTTTTGTTAAGCACACTGCCTAGAACGATCAACTAACATCTGACTCCACCGGGAACGTGTAATTAATCGGCTCTTGAATCGCATTCCATAGATTTCCTACTATCCTCTTTCATCTATCGTGGGTTTCATGCCACAAGGCCTTCCTAGTGCTAAGTGCCACTAGCACCTTCCTTGATGGACAAACTGTATTCCATATCAAATTCCCAGACACTAGTACGAAATATTCTTGTACATTAGAGACTATCTTTCTTTGGCAGTATCTTTTCTCATGTTTACGCACTCATCTATTGTATAATAATAATTCAATAATTCAACATATGCTAATTTTAAGTACGGTACTTGATTTGTTGTAGTCACATCCACTTTTACTATGGAATTTATTTCGCTTTTATACCAGCCGCATTGAATTGACGTGTCCTTCAAAATCATGATATAAGATCGGGATCCAGGCAGGTACATCATCGTTCTTGCCAACAAATTAATATCCTAAACGTCCAACAAGCAACTTTCAAGGATTCGGAACCTTTAATATACCAAACCCCTTCGCACGACCAATAGAATATTCGCCATCCATGGATCGCCAAGGAATCACTGTCTGGGCTCACGACGTTATCAACGAACTTCAGAGGCTAGACGTTCTCGATCCAGGTAATGAAGATGCCTCAAAAGATTTGTTTGGAGTGTACAAAAATCTCGAACAATTCTACAGATGGGTCTGCTCACGTCCTAGGATTGCTCCGCACGATGTCCCTCGTCCCCTCCGATCGATTAAGATGCATTCTGAAATTTTTGCTCTTTCGCATATGCTCTGGGACAATCTTGAAAGGGAATTAGCACTAGAAAGAGACGACGCCTTCATCGAGGAAATGATTGATCATCTAGGGTGGTTTTGGAATATCAAATCCAATTTGCGTAGAAAGATTCCCAGGAAACAAGGTATGGCCATGAAGAACTGTTTTTTTTAAAAAAATTCAAGTACTAAAGTCATCACAGGCCTTCCTCTTGCATCAAAAATGGACACATTGGTAGAAGCAGCGAGTTACGCCCTACGCTTTAACAATATCAGTCGTGGAAACATCATCGAACCCCCATTGGTAAGACCTGCTGCATCTGTTAATAATCCAAAGAGTCAAGTTGCGCCTGGGAGGAGGGGGGGTTCGAAAAATTCAGGAACCAGGTCTACTGAATCCAGAATAAGACAAGAAAATCCCAGCAACAATACCATGCAATCGAATCGAGCAGCTTCGCTCGCAAATACGCAAAAAACGAACACTGGCGATTTACAACTTCAATATTCTCCATCAATGCAGGGACAGCCTCAAGCTTCGATGCGACGTTCCCCTCCATCATATACTACACAGCAGCTCAATCCACGCTCCAGTATAAAGCACCAGTCAACTAATCTCCCTGCTTGGACACCACCCAATTTGGTTGACCTGGTGGGTGATGAGAATGACTATAAAAGCGCGGAACAAACAAGTATCTATCATATCCCCACTAGCTCTATCTTACCAAAAATGCAAATTCGCGGCGATAAATATCCCAATAGAGCCCGAGGTTTTTCTGGTGGATCCATGCGTCCTATAATGAGTATGTCAGGTGTCGAGCCGGTTATTGACAGTGGCAGTGACCATGCAAATCACAGTTCCCCTCTGACTTCTACTAGAGATTCGGAAGATTCTCATGGTGAGAGGGGATCAAGTCAACCAAGAAATAGTCCATGCGATAGTGGTTTCGGAGATTCCATGGAAAGCGCAAATACAAATTTAATTATAAAAGTCGACTCCCCTTCTCCGGAATCAGAAAACACGACTATGGAAGACTCTGAGACTCAAGGTCACAAACATCATCCAACTTCTGCTATTGTGCCTTCTGAAAGCAGTGCGGGCCAGTCTTCGGATAGACGATCAGACGAGCAGGAGAGCATAAACAGAGGAGTAACTGAGCTGAAAAGATCTAATTCTACCAGCATCAATAAGGGCATTATTACACACAAGAATATGGAAGGGGATAAAGCTAAAAACTCTACTTCTACGAACGGAGCCCGACACGGTATGGAGGGAAATAGTATCAATAGTACTAGCGAAGCCACGATGAAAGGAGCTATTTCTGTTACTAGCACTCACAAAAATATCACAAAAAGCAATATGGGAGATATCAAGGCAAAAAGACCTACTTCTTCCACTGCCAATCAAGAAGACCCCTCAGACAATCCAAAGAAGAAGGTCAAGACAAGTACAGACAACACAGCTCCATCCTCGGAATATTCATCCCCTTATATGAGCTCATTGAATCAGGGCCAACCAAGCATGCGTGCTAATTCCATAACTTCGGCTGCTGTTGATGAGCCCGTCGGCGGGAAATCTGTCAGCGAGAACTCCACATCTACTTCTCCAAAATGAGGAATCCAGAAGGCCGTTATCACTTCTTTAGTATGCGAAGCCCCATGAGAAAACATAATTCAGAAGAAAAATTGAGAGTGCTAGAAATGGATATAAAGGAGTGAAGGAGTGGTGGAAAATGAAGTTGGTATGCTAGCATGACCAAGCAGTAAATGGCATGATGTCTAGAATTATCTCCACTAAATACAAATTATCGGAAACTGGCGTTTCGACCGTTGGAAAGGATTTTGTTTTTTCTTTCAGGTCTATAAGAACTACACCGCTCAGTTTTTGTTCTCGAAGTATCTAATAAGACCTGTGTTTGCGGGTATTAAAGATTATTAGTTGTAATTTTCCTATTGAATAGTCAATTTATTTTTGTCAAAACCAGTGTCTGTAGAATGAGCATGATTGATCTTTTATTGGTTTTGATGCATGCACGGAACTAGCACAGCTGTGAGTTGGTAGAACTAGAACTTACCAATCTCTTACTCTTCACAATAGTCCTCATTGTTCCATTGGTCTTCACACATTAAGCATGGAGAAATAAGATAAATTCATTTTGGTATTGACTTTCTTTGATTCATGTAACATTTATACATTATTTTGGATATTTAATTCAGAAACCAAGAAGTGACACCAAATTTTCCTCTGATATCAATGAACCTAGCTAGTTGCCCTAACGCCTTTTGAATCTTTTGAAAATTACACAATTGATATAATGATACCGTCCACTTCTTCAATGTATAATTTTGCATATGCTAAAGCGAGATAACAGTTATTTTGATTTTCCTTCCTTATCCAAAACTAGACAATGTTAATACTGTATCACTCTACTCAGTTTTTCTAAGACTAATTCTCAATATCCAAAGATTAGAATCCTTCACTGATTATTGCAAGTATCGCTCTATACCAAGCTACCAGTCTTTGGCCATCAATTCGATTTTTCGTCTGGTAATGGAATGACTTGCCTGTCTTGTCTGTCTCTCATTTTAGCGCTTGGATTCACTCGTCTAGTTGCCTTTGGAGAGCTGCACATTGCCCTAGTATCTGTCGTATTAATTTTCCATAGCCTATGATCAGGGTCGAGTTGACACACACTAGAATCAAGCCGTACACCAGCACCTGAACTTACTTATAGAAGCTCTCTCTTCGTAGATTTTTATTCTGCAAGTCCCTCAACAATATCAGCATCATCAACAACATCCTCTTCACCCCAAAAATAATAACCACAGTCAATATGGCTAATGCCAATAATGAACCCGATTTTACGTACAGAATATACTTGCAAGAACAACTGTCTATGGACCTCCATTCCAACGCCGGAAGTGTGTTATTAGACTCACCTCAGCAGGAAATGTTGACACAAATACAAGGAGATAAGTTTGTAGACATTGGAGACATGTCTCGCGAATCACTTGTGGCGTGGGTTTATGGAGTCATCGACTAGCTCAAGTCATTCGAGCTTCATGGGAAGAATCTTGGATCCGCGGTTTGGTCTCAATTATATAAGATTATCAAAAATCACGATATTTTCAAGGATTGGATTTATAGCCGCCCCAGAACTGATGCATCAGGATTTGTAATCAGCCTTCGTGATTATTCTTCACACCCATATTACAGCTCAGCAACTGTGCTCGGTTACTGTCACTCTGTGTGGCAAAAAATTGAACATGACTTAAGGGACGAGAATCCAACTCGTTTCATGAAAGAGCTGTTCCAACAAGTTTTTAATCTTTGGCATTTCAAATACTGCATTAACAATATCTTGCGAGAGCTTAGAGGTAAATCTGCCTGCCTGTTTATTATGTCAATCAATGTAACATAATGACTTTGCAGGTCTGCCACCTACAACCCCGCATGATACTTTTCTATAATTGACAAGCTATATAACACAAGGCGTTGTGCCGAATCGCAACCTTGCAAACTCTCGACCAGACCCCGGACCAGCAAACATTCAAATTGATGGTCACTCATTTAACGTCGCAAATTTTGATAGTAGCCTCAGCATTACAGCGGCAGTGAACAATCAAGGAAGAGGCTGGCGATCGACTTATGCGTCCCGAAATGCTCATAACTCGCAAATCGCTAACGTAAGGGGTAAAAAGCATATTAACACAAGTACTGCTCTTGGCCAGAATCGCTTACCGAAGGTTAAAAACATGTCAGAGGTCAGCAAACAAGGTGTAGAATATCAAGCTGGTTCTTCTCCCACTGACGACGCTATCCAGACGACTGAGCCAAGCGCTAATGCCTCCGAGGGCTCTAATATCAAGCAGGAGGTTGAGAATGAGCACAACCATGGAGAGCAAGCTGAAGGACGTCCGAAGGGATGGAAACAATACATACAGCAAATTATCGGTGCTGGGAGAAATCAGTTGGTACAAATGACTGCACAGTCCAACTCCAGAGTTCCAAGCAAATCTACTAAAAATGCGGAAGAAATTCGCAAACGTTCGGCTCCAGTTGGTAGCGATAATGGCGCTGTTCTTGTTCCTGTTCAGGCAAACAAGAAGACCAAGGTAGAAAAAAAGGATCCTGCTCTTGCGGGCCATTCTTCCTCGTGAATAGTACTGGAATACAAGCTGTGGAGACGCATTTCGATATTTTAACGATGGTTATGGACGGGATTTAGACAAGTTGTTTTGATTCGCACCCGGCACAATCAATGGAGGACAATATTTATTCGCAACCAGTGTGACTTAGGGCAAGAATGCAAGAATGGAAGTAGAGTCGCTTTTGATACCTGTGAACAGAATTGAAGATAGTTGTGGCCAACTAGTGGATGGATATATGGTGTTTCTGGGTCAAATTAGCTTACAGTATCTTCGATTTGGTATTTGCGGATTCTTTTCAGTGTTGGTCGTTTGCAGGATAGTGATAAGTGAGAAGTTCTTTACGGAAATGGTAAGCTTTTCATGTGAAACATAAAGCACATCTATTAAGTCTTTCCACAGCCGTACTTCTAAAATGTGAATAGTGTTCTGTATGGCGTGACATGACCTTGTCAACTGACTTTAGGTTATGCTGAACAATACGGCCCAGCAGCCAAATGCGTCTCCCTTATGTAGATTCATTCTCGGCCAAGTCTGCAGATCTGATTTTTTGGTTGTATTATACTTACAAATACAACGATACTTTATTAACTGTTTTTAAGAAGCAGTGTGATGCAGTTCCCTTGTGACACATACTTTCCTCCATAGAATCACTGTCACGTTCTCTAAATGCCTTCCCATGTTTTGAGACCTTCGAGAAATGAAGAAGAGGATCATAAATACATTATTTGAAGGTGTTTTGCCCGGTTCATATTTCATGAAACACCGCTAAATTTCAGATATTCCGTATCTGGCGCAGAGTAAATTTTCCGGAGCTGATTGCAGTTTTCGAGGTGGTGGTAATGGGATAATGCTCTTTCATACACTCTGATTTTGGTTTCAGGAACACTAGCAAGTTTGTCTGCTCCGATGATATAGCCATACATGGGTTTCGAGTATTCGTGGTTTAGTTATCCAGATTTCTTGTAGGAGGACAAACCTTGCATGATATAAGTCTAGTGTTGCTTAGCTAGCTATTGTGTAAAAAGGCCCATTGGGACAAATAGCTTTCCATGGCTTGGTAAGGAAGTCGAACTGTGCTAGGAAAGGTTGAATATTGGACTCAGTTATACCAGCATCTGGAAAAGATTGAAGATGCCCTGAAGCCCTGAGAGGAAGAGTGTTTGGGACGATCAATTTTGTTTGAGGAGATCAAAAACTTCACCGTATTAATAGTATCGTGGATTTTGAGCTTTTGGTTTTTATCCATAGATCGAAAAGCCTCGCAAAATAGCTAGTATTCTAGTAAGTGGCGATTCTTGACCACAGATAGCCCAAAAGGAAGAGGTAGGTGTAGGTTAGGGCAACCAGCTGTCCCCGTAATTCATATGTGCCATCTGCTAATTAGCAACCTCGAATAGTGGTATCCCGGTGAGAAGCTCTTTCGCCAAGCTTGAGGCACAGAATGATGTGCGGCAGCTAAATTTACATCTTCTGACTCGAATGGAAGAGCTCTCGCCGACTGTAGGGTGAAGGAATCCATTGTCTGTCAAATTAGCCTATCAGCATAGATATTTTGTGACTCACATTCTTTCGATAGCTTCGAATAATATGGGACATCAAAAGCTGGGAAAAAAACATTTACGTCCGCAATGAATACTAGACATTGATAATGGGAGGTCGTTCTGATAATGATAAGCTCCGGAGAAATAAAATCCCGTGATTGGCTAAATCTTTTGCTCTGTCAGCTACGCCGTGAACTTGCAGCTTCTTTTTATTTGACTTGCAGATTTCTTCAATATCTCGTCAAGCTTAAGATTCTCCTGTTTATCCTTCTCTTTTCATCTTGAATGCAAACTAAGCAATAGTATCAAGTCCGCTCATGCATCCTCTTTCTGTTACATAGTTCTACTTGTGTTCTACTAGTGTTATATTCAACAGCATATCTACACCACAAAATTTCTTATTTTCATGGCTATTATCTACCGTATTTTCCCCTGCAATTGGCATTGATATTGTTGCCCCCCACTACAGGTAAGCTAAGATCTTACATTCAAAATCACCATTCCTACCTCGGATGTGTTACTTGGTAAGTGCAACGCTTTCAAATTTTGCTGATCCACTAGCTCTTCTTATGCTACAAAGTACCCAGAATTCGACTTTCTTGTACGTGATTGTCGCATGGGTATTTTATGTGTTGATGCTAGTCGGGGAAAAACAGCAAGGCTGCCTAAACTTTCTTGAGTATATATTGAAATGAATCTGCAACCATCATCTGCAAGTGTAACATTCATTCTTTTCTATTAGAATCATTTATTCATTCATAGTTGAATTATACAATGCTGTTCGCCATTTCTTCTCTTATTCTTCTCGCTACACACACCTTCGGGCAAACCCTCAATGCCTGGGAACAAAGAGTTTTTGAAGAATGCTGCAATTACGCAGTGGATGGAAACATAACGACCTACGATGAGGTTGATTCTCTACCAAATCGGATTAGCATTCTATTAAATTTTCCAGATGTATACCTTGGCTTTTATGTCCAATCCTCAGGCCCTTACATCACCGATTACGATGTTGTAGCTGTCGAAAGTACGACGGACAGAGAGATTATTATTGGCAAGGTTTCCAACGCTACCTCTAACTTCACTGTCGTCAATTTTTACAACTCCGCTGGCGAAGCCGAGATTGTGACCGCGACGATATTCTTCGAAATTAAAGGAGTATCAGATGGGGGTAGCACTGCGTTCATCAACGAGATTTATCCCATCTATTCAGGCGACACCATTTTCTACCCACCGGGTCAATCCGCGCAACCCTCTCCAACACAATCCACTACAGCAACCCCAACATCCATTGCAACTCCCGTCATTCCTACACCCACCGCCCCTAGCATAATTCTCAACACCTGGCCCACCAACAGTGCAACTAAACCTTTCGTACAGAGCCCCACATACATCGACGGAAACCCAGCCACAGGTCTTACCTCCTCAAGATATTTTCTCCTCTTCAACACCCCAAGCACATACGAAGGATTTTACATCCTATCCCAATCACCGAACTATCTGACCGATTATCACGTTATTGGCGTGAATAATACAAATTCTACGGACTTTGAACTTTGTCGTGTCACAGGTGCTACGTCAAATTTCACTCTTTGTGCATTTGTGGATGAGTATGGGAACCCGGGGTACCGGACTAATACTATTTTTATTTATCAGGATGGTGCTTCGGATGCACAGTTAAATGAGGTTTATCCAATTTGGCCTGGTGATGTTATAGTGGATCCTAATGCTTGATTTTTTGGAGGTTTAGGATAATGTCTTGCTCAATTTTTACGTTTGGAGATTGATTGATGTTCAGGCTTCTGGATGTTTAGTCATTGGGTAATGGTTATGGTAGAAAAGGGTCTATAGTCTGGAATATTGCAGTAGATTTAGACTGCCAATCTTCTCGATCATTTCGATATTCCACTAGACTCTTGGGACGGCGGGGCAAGGAGCTATGGATTTTTATGAAGTTACTTTCTAGGGAATCAAGAGCTTTGCTCAGCAGTAGCTAGAATCAAGGATTACGTAATCTTACTATCAATGATAATGAACGATTCATATCATCGTAGCCATCGATAGACCCTCTACCTCACCTGATCGTGCTTTTTCTTTCTTGCTATAGATTCATGCATCATTTTCTTTATTTTCAATTCAACTTAAGGTTACAATACTTTGTCCTAGCTTCTGCACTTAAAACTCACTAGTCATGCTGTTTTTATGACATTACCAAATCCAATTAACCAATTTTATTTATCCATTCTCCATTCAATCCAATGAATAGTCTAAATTAGCTACTTGAGAACATAAACTCTTCAGTTTGAACTTTTGTTTCTCTTTCTGTCACTGTTTTTTCCTATCAATCCACTGATTCCGTGGTAGCGGGCGAGTTAATTAGTTGTATGAATTGTTGAACCAAGCAGAAAACGGAGATGATTAGATCTTTATATACAATTATATCTTGGAGTTAAAACTGTCAATAATCAAAAATTTGCAATATCTGGGAGTAGACAACGAATGAACGTAAGCGTCGGCTCGGAAGCCATATCATGAACTCGCTTCCCACGGTATGTACCCTTTACAAATAGACTAATCTGTTTCTCTGTGGGCACCATGCGTAAAACAAGCTCAATCTTGTGCTGGATGTATGTACAGGTCCTCAAAGTTCAGAAATAAGATTTACAATGCTTTGGGGAACAAATAGTGTTTCTAGTACGAAATCTATTCATTGAGTGATTTTGAGTCGTATTTCCAGATGGGTGAAATTGAGTGATCGCCCCTTAATCACTTAGATTTTCTATATTAAAAAAAGACCGATAGTAAAAAATACAATGAGTACAGTTACAAATAAACAATAATAGGAATAAAATTGTTACGTTGTAACATTATAAACTATTATCACCTGTTATAGGATCACATGGATAGTCTTGTAAGGGAGCGAGAGAGCGAAGGAGCGAGATTCGAATCTCGCTCCCCAACTCCATCGCTCCAATGATTGGAATACAAAGGTCTATATAATCAAGATGGATTCCCTTTGTATAGAGCTTCGTGCTCAAGATCAAGATCAATCATTTAGTATACTCTACTATTAGTTACGAATTGCATCATTGTCATTACTTAAGTCCTTGCTTGACGCCTAGTTATAAACCACCTCGAGATCCTAAAGCACTTCCACGTGATCTAGACAGCAAGCCTCGTAAAATTTACTCAAAATTAATAATAATTATTTGATTTTTTTTATTTCAAACTCCGGTCTATATTATATTTCAATAAAAAAACAATATATATTAAAATTGTAATAGATTAAAATCTATAACAATAACTATTAATAATTAAAAGTAATTCAAAATAACAATGTGACCAAAAGGGTGTTTATAGACCAGCAATTGTATTTAACTTAGAATCTACAGGTGAAGAGCACCTGTAGATGGGGATAGCTACTCTATATATACACAAATGGATGGCCTAGCCGCAATGGCTAGGCAAAAAGAAGTCATATTTATCCCTCCAATGATCTTACTTTACCGATAACCATTGATACCTAGTACTTGTCCGGATCTGATCCTCAGGTCACCTAAATCGTATACTAATCCCGAGTAATCGTATCATGTGTGGACATGGTTAATGTACCTGAGGTTTCTTATATAATAAGGGTGGGAGGAAAGCAGGGATTTCCGTCACAAACAACAAAATAATTTTTCTTATTTATTTAAAAATATACAATCATTATTATAATAATAAAAATAAATCTTTTAAATATTAATAAATGTCACACTCAAGAATACTGAGTAGAGTATCTTGTATTAGAAAATACTAAGCTAAGGAGAAAAGAAGAAGGAAAACAAGAGTAGCGAGTTTTCCTATGATTAAATACAAACGGGGCATGCCACGTGACCCGGAGGTGTGAGGCGTCACAGTTTCTTATTTTGATATTTTTTATTCATTCTATTATTTAATAATCGTACAAGTGGTATCTTCTTCTCACGCTAAACTCATAATGCGCCATTCCCTCAGGCTTCTACCTCTTCCCTTAACCTAACACCTAACCCCCAAATTCTCCACAGTCCGGCATGAAAAAAGCCACACCCACACCCACAACCACAACCTCCCCCTCACAATTGATACCTATAATCCGGGCTCAAATCCCCCAACTCTGTCTTCTCATACTCCGTAAGACCCAAATCTCTGGGTCTCCTATTCCTCTGTCTATTCTCGAATAACGTCGCTAAAAAATACGCCAAACAACTAGCTGCACTCAAGCAGAGAAAGCCTAGACAAATCCCATAACCCATTTTATATTCCGGTGCATCTTTTGCCAAAAATGCATATGTTGCAATAATCCCGCCTACGTTTCCAAAGCCGACTTGCCACGCTGTACCGACGCTTCGGCGATGATGTCCTCCTAGATTCATGTTGAACCAACAGACAATTACCGGCATGGCGGCATAGGCACCCATGGCTACAAGAAAGAGGGCTGCGTATTGGAGTTTGGTGTTATCGTGGATGGTGAGTAGGATGGAGAAACCTGTTATTGCTACACAGATGGGAGCAATAGTAAAGGCGAAACGATGACGAGTAAAATCGGAGCCGAAAGCGATGATCATTGCGAAAGCAAAGGCGCAAGCCCAGGGAGGTACGCTGTGGAGTTGTGTTTGAATGGGTGTGTAACCAAAGGTGGATATGATTCCTGGTGCAAAAAATGCGTAGCCGTATGCGGGGATTACCATACCGAAATACATGAAACCTCCTAGAATGATTTTATAGTCCTTGAATACGTGGAGTGCGTCTTTCAATGTGATTTTGCGTTCAGCCGCACTTCGACCTTGATCGACTTGTAGACGGGCTTTAACGTATGCGCGTTCATCGGGAGTGAGCCATTTTGCATCTTCGGGGAAAGAAGGGATAAGAAAGAAAAACCCTAGGGCTACAACGCAGGTAAGGAGACCTTCGAGAATAAATATCCATCGCCATCCAGAATGTCCTCTGACTCCGTCCATTTTTCCAATAGCGCTAGCGAGGAGACCACCGAATGCTCCGGCTAATGTGGTACTACTGAAGAAAAAGGAATATCGACGTTGAGCTTCTGATCTTTTGTACCACATACCAATAAGGTAGAAGCAACCTGGAAACATACCAGCTTCGAAAAGTCCGAGGAAGAAACGAGTTGCGAGCAGTCCGCCGAAATTTTGGACTAGTCCTTGACAGATACTTACGAGACCAAAGAGAAACATGAGGGTTGAAAGCCAAATATTTGGATTGAGACGTTTCATGAGAATGTTGGATGGGATTTCGAAGAAGACATATGGGACGAAGAAGATAGTGAGGGCGGTATTGTATTCAGTTCCGGTTAAATTCAAGTCTGTTGCTAGCTTGAAAGATTTTGCATTCGCGATATTAACTCTGTCCAAAAATGCCAAAAGGTACAGGATACATCTATAAGAGTCAGATTGATATTTGAGGTATTTGGGTACTTTACTTACAAGAATGGTATCACCCGTAAATCGATTTTTCGCATGAGTTTTGCCTCCGTTGTGTGTGGGGGGCAAAGCACGTGCAGTTCATCGAATTCGATTTGTCCTTGCCCAGTCGGAATATTTGGAACGTAGCTGTTATTGCTTTCAGATTTGAAACCAACTTCTTGATCTTCTGACAAGGATGGCTGAGGGGAAGATCCCGTTTGCTCTGAATTGAGTTAGATTGATCATCAGAAGGTGTGAAGACCTCGGATTGATCGAGAATTGGATCCCCGGTTGATGAACACACTTATATTCATCGTGATGTTTCCATTGAGATCATCTTGTATACTGGAAGGGCTCAAATCATCGAGATAGAATTGTGATGATAGTAAATAATAAACGAAATTAGTCGGTACTCACTGTCTTTTGAACTGAGGAATCCCATTTTGATATTCCTCTTCCTTGACTCTGTATTCAAGATGAAATGCCAAACACGATCGACAACGCACCTTTATAAAGGCCAAAGAAGGCAAAATGTGACGTGAGAATACGAACAGGAAGTAAGAAAACAAATCAAAAAAATACCAAAGAGATATCGAGCTGCTTTTCTAGTCAATAAGAGCTTACCGTGGAGGCTCAAGAGTCAAAGAGTTACTGTATTCAGTTACCTAGTGATTGATTGATCGGACATCATTCACTGCAGGAAGGGACAAGGGATGAGGTTATCCCCGCAATTAAATTTGGGGAATGTGACTGGGACCGAGGAAGAATCATCTCTCATCCCGTGTCTCTTTTGATTAGTGAGGAAGTTTTGGGTTGGGGATGTGCCGTAGTGGCTTTTACCCGTTTGTCAGATTTCCATGTATGGCACGAATAATACAGTAATACAGTGATGTTGTAACCGATACTGTATTCTTTTTGCCTTCTCACATCAGCATTATTACTGTTTAGTAAGCTATGAGCAGCAGCAAGATTTCAAATTGGTGTAACTCTTGTCCCATTCCCATGCTCATGCTTTTCCTCTTGACAAAAGACATTGGAAAATCTTGACCGATTTTGCAGATAACCAGAATGAATTACCATATGGGCATCTTCTTGTAGATCCATGGCGCCAAGTATTCCTACTGGTTGTTATGATGTTTGTGACTCTTGCAGTGGATGGAGTGGAGAATGCTAACTATTAAGTGTATGCGGGGAGAGCTGAGCTTGGCTAATCCCCAAAAACCGGTATCGGAGAAGTTTCTTCAATAAATGGATGTGGTTGTATTACACAGCATGGTATTTCAATGAGTCTGGATCTTTTCTCTGAATATTGAAACTTGGGGGCGGGGATTCATAGCGATGGTGGTGGAAGGGTGAATTTCAATTGGGATGTTGAGAATTTGTCCGTGACAGTAGAAGAAACATGAACATGCATATGAACATGCCTACTCATGAATCACGAGATTCAATCTAAAATCAAGCCTCACTCCAAATCGATAAGCTTTCCTGATTGTTGGAGAAACCTTGTTTAGAAGAAAGTTGAGGAATTAATTGTTGCCGCTTTTGATATAAATCCTAGTGGGACCAAGGTACTCGATCTATGCTTGCTCTGCTTATTACTGTCAGAGGGAATCTTGAGGGAATCTACAAATGTGGGTTCAAGAGAATGAAAATCATTGAAGCAGCTCCAGTTTTGATAATGAAAGGGTTTAGTCTCTATTAGTACTATTTACTCGTACTCCGTTCCGTCTCAACGGCATATTCGGTAAGTATCTCATAAGCCTCGCTCACGAGGCTATGTCTTTTCATTTGCAGCCACTGACAGGTGACCTTGGGAAAGTCTTGAGGGGGAAAAGAGAAGGTTGAACGCGCAAACGCGTCTTGGATTGAAAAATTTCAAACTTCTGTTGAGATATTCTTTAACCACCTTACCTACATACAAAAGATGTTCTATTATATCCTCATCTCTCACCCGAAAAGACACCTACATGGAACTTGATTTAATTAAGTATTCGACCTTTCCTTTTGTTTTTTCAATAAACTTTCTTTTTCTACCTTCACCTAGCTTTTGGTCTAGGTAGTGGCACCTCGTCATTTTCTTGGTATGCTTTTCATAAGCCGAGTTGTTACTTGGAACAATTAGGTGGGCGATTGACGTATTGAACACCGGAAGTATCTCTCATATTTATGTTCATATATTGAAAAGACAAATAACTACTCGTAATTAGGTATCAGAGGTGTTTGATAGAGAATTATTGTGTTCGATAGGTACTCGCTCCATCACCAAATGATCGAGTCAAGAAGCAAACCAAAATTTAGGTAGGCAAGTCTTACATTCATCAATAACCTCCTTTTCTCAGTGGATGGCGGATGGTGAATGGTGCGGTGCATGGTGGACGGTGGGTGTTCCTAAAACCTTGGTTGGTTTTGCCTCTTTAACTTGATTTACTAATAACACCTGCAGTTAGGTAATTAATTGGCCACGAGAACCATCCCATCCCATCATATCACACATCCCACCTCATATTCAAAAACCCAATAATACATACAATAATATCACATCAGGTGATTGCTATCTCAAGAGAATTTACCCCTTCATTTCCGAATTTCAATATTTATTTTTTATGTTAGATACTATGTATATTGGTTCCTATCCGCAAGTACATACGTACGTAGAAGGTATGTTGCTAGTTGTAAGATTAACTTACTACTACTTAGCTTTGATCTAATCAATTAGAATTCCCTCGGTCATCCCATCCAATCCCACTAACAATTCATTTGGAGAATCCCTTTTGAGCCTTGGTTAAGCTACAAGTCAAAGTCAAAGTCAATTTTTAGAACGCCACTCTCACGCTCACGCTCACACTCATACACTCACGCATACACTCACGCATACACTCACGCACACACACACACATATTCCCTTAACCGCCTATTGTGTTGTACAAACTAACCGCTCGCCTCATATCATCAGGTACCTACCTACCTAGTATAATTAATACCCACCGTACACCACTCAGGAAGGGCGAACAAAATATACTAGTCGAATGCCAACGTTTTCTGATTTTCAAACCTTGTTACGAAAGTACAGCAAAGACGATTCCACGACTCATTCGAAAACAAAACTCTTTATTTGTCTTTCCTTTCCTGTCCTGTCCTTTTCAACCCAAACACCGAATCAAGCAATCAAACTCCACCCTCTCCCAGCCTTCTTGCCATCACATTCATTTGCTTTCAGTGAATCGAAAGAACCTTTGAGAATTCCCAACACCACGCCAAAAGCAGTCGGAAGCCATTACTCCGTAATAATCATTCTTTCTCTAGCTTTTCAATCAAACACCGAAGTGGCGGCTGAGATATCGGAGGGTCGGTGAAGTAGAGGAATAGAAATAAGAAAGCAGTTTCGGCCTAAATGCAAATCAACCAACGCTACGACTAGCCTAGACTCTTGTTGCCCGTGGACCTCACAGACTGAAAAATCCCCCAATTCTCGATTCCTCCCACAACCAACTCAGAATAATCCACGAAACATACGACACATCTCTTAACACCGACCACGACCCACCATTCAAAGAGGATTTTCCTTCAAGAGAGTATATCTGTCGCTAGCCATCTCATTTGACAACTAATAAATATAATACTCATCAAATATTACTGTACAAGTTCCAGGATTGGTGGATGAACGTTACATCGCCATTAATTGCGGGTGGGGAGTGATTGGACTTCCTCAACACCATCACCGTCGATCGAATTTCACCTATACACCGAGCCTTCTTTTTCATATATACTCTACACAAATATGAGTGCTTCTCCTACAGTCTCTTTCGCAACGAGCGATGTCGAAATCGATCTCGCCGCCATGTTTGAAGACTCGATCGATATTGCTCGAGATGTTGTTAAGGGAGTGATTTTAAAGCATTGTAATGCTCCGTTGGATGGCCAAAATATTTGTTTCGCAGCTCAACATATACTTGCCGGAGATGACAGATATAATAGAGTCCTCACCATGCGAGAATCAGATTCGTCCGCAGACACAATGGTGCAGAGTAATATTGTTCAGCTTCCATACTCCGGAAACACAATAGGTCCTACTTTCCATCCATCGACGATGGGTCAAATGGCTCAAATGACTCAAACAAATTCACCCTTGACTATGAGCAATATTAATTCTCACCTCCATCGTGAAAATTCAATGCAAAATCCCAATAATTCCCAATTTCGACCTCAGTCCTCCTTCTCTGTCGCTCAAACTCAATCCCGAGCCCAAACCGAACTTCTCCAGGTTTCGAATTTACTACAAGGAGGCAACAATTACCACCAACAAACATACCCCTCTAACAACAATCTACATTCACTCTCTTCGATCCGGCGCCCACACCAACTGCCACAAGTCTCATGCAGTATCAAGTATCCACATAGTATGGGCGATCTCTTCTCTCGATCCGATTCAATTCTTGCATCGCAAAATATCAACCCCACGAATCGAAGCAAGTTTCAACGGCAAATGATCTCCGAACTACAAGACTCTCAAAATCTCGCAAACCCACACAATCCAAATAGCTCCACAGCGCACGTCGGGCAAGGCTCCTCCTCCACTTTGGAAAGATCGAGTTCGAACGGTTCACTTTCATCCAATTTGTCGTTACCACCTTTGGCCCCAGCGCAAAGATCCCCACATACTGACAGTTTACTGATTGTCGAATCTCGATCTACCACGCAAAGTCGCGCAGAAACACCACTAGACTTGGAAATGGCCAAAAATACCAACTCGAAGAAGCGCAGAGCTCAAACAGGTGACCGAAAAGCCACCGCGAAAAAGGCAAAGACGAGCAAGGGTGAAAAGGCGGATAAGTTGGAGCTAGTAAGTGTAACTATGCAAATACTTGTAGAGCAGGTCTAACCTTTTTTAAAGATGAAGGATAAAGCCAAATATAATCTACCAGGTACAATTTGGATGCGAATTCTCGAATTTTGTCCTCCCATATTCCTCCGAAAAGCTCGTTTCGTCAGCAAAGAATGGAAGAGCTGGGTTGAGGACTTTTCATCCATCCATGTCAATTGCCGAAAGGAGAACTTTGGTTTCAATTTACCTGAGCACATCCCGGGTTTATCAGCAAAGCAATATGTTGATCTTTTGGGTGGAAAAGGCTGCATGGAACCTGGTTGTAAAAACAAAGACGCAAGCAGAACACATTGGGCTTGGAAGAAGAGGTGGTGCCTCTCCTGCTGGAAGGAAAAGATTGAGAGAGAAGATCGTATCCAGAAACACCGCCAACTCCAATACACCCGACCCGTCATTGACAAACTACTCGAGTGCATCCCGGTTAGCATGTACGATTCCTTTGGTAAACCTCATGATTACGTCGAAGATGGACCTCAAGCTTTGACAAATCAATTGGCGACGCACCGATTGTACAAATACTACCTGATTGTCGACGTCGATAACATCATCAAGGAATATGAGGCTCTCACTCCTGAACCATTTCGTGAGGATCCTACCCATGATGCTCAACAAAAAGCTACCGCACGCCAGATTTGGGAGGACAAGATGGCCAAATTGGACGAAGAGCGTGATAAGTTCTTTGAAGCGAAGAAGGCCGAGAACGACAAACTCATGCAACTCGTAATACAAATTGAAGCTGCAATTCGCGAGAGGAGAGCAAAAGGTCGCAAGCCGAACGATGCCAATCGTGAGAGCCGGAGGACTCTCTTCCTTAACTTAGCGAAGCGTGATCTCCCTGAAGTCCCGGAGGAATTCATTATAAATACCAAAGCATTCAAGGCAGCTGTTCGCATTTTCAGAGATGGTGGCTCGGAGCGAGGTTGGAGAACTTTGAAGCCAAAGATTGAAGGAGAATACGCGAGTTCAAAAAAGAAAGATCAACAGGCTCCCAATCCTGCAACCAATACACCATGCCGATCCTCAGGACAAGACATACAAATGACTGGCCACGACCTCGGGAACTTTGAGCTGGACAATGATGATTTTCACCAACTTGGTCACGGAGGCCTTCAACAAAATCTTCAGCAAACTCAACTTCAAGGATTTCAACTTCAAAAGTCTACAGCATTTACAAGTAACAAGTCTCTTGGCATGAATCACTCTGGTGGCTCACTCGGATTCAGAACCAATTCCATGGCTACAGGATCACGTTCAGCAAATAATCCGGCCGCGGCATTTCTTAGTGGTGGATCAATCTTTGTGAACCAACCCTTCGGCAACAGTGCCTCTGCTCTACCCATGGTTATGAATTCAATGGGCAATGGGTCTTTTAGCAATAATGGTTCTTCTGCCAGCTCATTGAACAATGTTTCTCACATGAATAATGACTTTTCTACCAATTCGTTGGCCCCTCTTTCTCAAATCAACAATGGCTCTTCCGTTGGTTCATCGAACAATCTCCCTCGCGGCAGTAACGGCTTTTCCAACGGCTCAATGACTGCCCTTTCTCAGAACAATAACGGCCGAAGCATGGGTTCATCGAGCAACACATCTTTTGGTAATATCAACTTTATGCCCCATCGCTCTCAGAACATTAACGGTACCTCTATTCGTTCATCGAACAATATTTCTTTTGGGAATAATAGCTTTACTACTGGCTCATTAAATCAAATCTCTCAAAGCAATAATGGGTCTTCTGTCAATCCATCGAGCAATCTTGCTAGCTACAACAATGCTTTCAACTCCGGCTCGTTGACCCATTTTGCTCAAAACAACAGTGGCTCATCGCTAGTCCCTAGTCATTCGCTAAACTACGCTTCTCAAAACGGCAACGCTTTTTCTGCCAACTCATCGAGTCATCTTTCTCAAACCAACAACAGCTCATCACTTGTGCCTGGTAATCCGTCAAATGTTGGGTCATCGTCTACTCCACGAAGTGCCATGGCTATTTCTTCCATTATCACAGGAACCCAACCCCAAAGTAACTGATATAATATTAATCACTCGTTTATTCGAAGGACGAGCAAGCTTTTTTTCTCACCAGCGCACGTACACCAGTTTGATATTGGAAGCGTGGGATCATTAAAGGAGAGCAGACCGGAGGACAACTGTGTCTAAAATCACTTTCGATATCGCATTTCAATTTTTTTTTCCCCTTCAGTTTTTCATTCAGCTTTTCAGCATAAAATATTGGCGCAATGGAAAGCGCAATACCCCATAAGGAACAATGGTTACAATTAGGAGTTTATCATTGGCCACCATGGCGATGGTTTGATGCATATAAGGGTTATGAGGTGTTTTTATATGATGATGCATAGGTGCATTCCATGTTATGGCGTTTTAGAGGTTTTCATTATTTATTTGGTCATAATGACTAGGGCGATTGATTGGGCAGCACGAGGGATGCATAAATAGCGACTGAACGTTGTAATGGCATATGGTTACGAGCCATCGATTATCTCTGGTCTCTTCTTTCTCTTCTTCATTTTTACATTTCCAGCTGTCTCATGGGTATTTCTATGAGGCGGTGACACAGTGGACCATTGTGGAACGAAATGTGGTGAGTAGGGGAACGGAAATCTGGAGATTGGCAAGAAGGAAAGACAAAGCGAACGACATAAAAGCTTCGCAGACTGAGCCGTTATACATTTGGTGGGTTGCATGGGACGGTGTGGTGGGTCAGATTTCTGCTTTTACTTTAGCATGGCACAAACATTCCATACACTACAGACATCATATATGCATAGGTCTCAATTCAAATATGGTGGAGTAGTTGGATTTGAGCATATGATGGATGGATGGACTAGCAAATAAAAATCGTTTAGACTACATGCTCTCATTTTCTTTATTCATAATCGCTCGTGATGGAAGATTGTGTGACAAGATTCTAGTGGATTTCCTTGATGATGCTGTTTTGAGAAATATAATTTTAGAAACCTTGGAATTTATAGTCAGTTTTTTGAGCGATTTGTGATTTGATCTGATGACAAGGTAAGATTATTATGGAAAGATAGATGATGAATGATCTAATCTACAGAGTAAAATCTGATATTTGATTTCTCATATCTGATATCAGCCTTATTATCTACTCGCCTATTTATGGAAACCAGAATTGTTTATACAGTAACAGTTAAACGGTTAAAGCGGCCGCTAGCGCATTCAAAGCCTCGTCTCGTATGGAATTCGTTGGGTGCAAGGGTGCATGTTTACGTGGGTAAAATGAATGGATGGATGGATGGATGGCATGTGAATGAATGAAGTCGATCTGATTATGACTTTGGATTTTTAAACATCAAGGACCTAGGTATTATACGGTTATTTTATTATATAATTTTACGCATTGTTCTTAGAGAGTTTATTGAGATTTGTGGAGTTTGTTTTGAGGAGGTCTTTTGGATTAGTTTGGTGAGTGAGTGAATGAGTGAGAGTATTAGTTGGTTGACGCTGTAGAGGGAGGAATTGTGCGATTGTTAAAATTTGAGGTTCGCTGTGCGTCAGAGAAGAAGAGAGAGATATGAATGAGTGGGATTGGAAATAAGAAATGCAATGTCGGAGCATTTGGATTTGGATCTAGATTCGAAGACTGTGAGAAGGGAGGATGAACGGATGTTTATGGGACATGAGTATGAGCATGAGCAGAGGGATATACAAGGCATACGGTATTCGCAGACCCGACAGATGCAGTATCAACAGTCGCAATCACACGCGCAGAAATTGAGAGAGGATGCTACGAGGAGGGGAGATGTGCGGAATATGCTGATGGAAGAAAATGGTTCGAGAGCTCCGAGGTTAGAGAGAAGTCCACATCCATATCATAAGAAGCAGGAGGAGATTTTCTCGGGGAGCGAGAGGAGCGGTGAAATGGTTGGGGATGTGGAGAATGGGAGGGACCCCGAGGTGGGAATTTCGCGACTTCCTTCTTCGAGAACTAGGTACTCTAGACCTACTTCCTTAAGACCTCCTTCAGGTCCCTTTACAGGGCCTGCTTCTTCAGCAACCCCAACGTCGCCATCACCATTGCGTTCGACACAAAATACCGATGATGAATTTTATAAAGGTGTTAGGATAACAATTGATGGATCACCAAATGGATATATCGAATCTACAAATAGCGATAGTGGGACTGAGGCAGATGATGAACATTTTCTGAAAGGGTTACCTGCTCCGAGGATAAAACCACATAAAGGATTGAGGGGTGAGAATGGCAACATGTCGAGTACGCCAAGTCCATTGATGAGTCCGGCTATATTGGAAGATGAGATACGGTGGAAGGAAAATGGAAGGATTAGATCTTTGATGCCGGCTTCGAAAATACTTACCGCGGAGGAGCAGAGGAGAGTTGTTGAGAAGTTTAGACAGAGGAGGAAGATTGAAATTATAAGGAGAACAACTGAGGCGTTTTTACTATGTTTTGTTGGGGGAATAATATACCGGAGTCAAGGAGTTGAGGAAATTCTCTATTTATGGAGAAATGGTATGCTTCTACTTCTATGTTTTCAGAAACTATGCTAATTGTGAAGAACTTGTTTGTCAAATCCTTGTTATAAGTGGTTTAATAGCTTTATACCCTCTTCGATTATTACGACATCTAAGATCCCGAACACCATGGAAATTCACATTCCCTCTTACTATACCTGCGACATTCGACCCGGCTCCTTTATTATATCCTCCTACATTAACGATGCTTGTTTCGATTCTACTTTCAGTCAGTGATCCTAGTGGTCTTTTACCCAGTATGATACTTGCCATATCTACATTGCCGAGGAAATTAATACCCGCTATTGGAGGTCTTGAAGGTCGAGATATGTTATATTGGGTATTAGCATGTATGCCATTGTTCACGACGAGCTTGACCAGAGCTCCGTTTTTGAGCAATGAATCATTACCTCTAAATCCTGAGGTTTTGGTTTTAATACCACCATTACATCAAGCTTTATGTACAACACTACATTACCTCACCACCACTAGTCTCCTATCCGCCGAACTACAATTATTATCAACCTCCCTCATAATTCTCTTACTTAGAGCATCATCACCCCAAGCAGTTATTTTAAAAGCACTTCTTTGGGGTGGTGGTGTAGGTATTCTAGTTACTTGTACACATGTTCTTAGATGGGGTGTTGCATTAGCCAGAGTACCAACGTGGAAATTCAGAAGACCCGAAACGAAAAAATCGAGTTTCAGATTTAACAAAGGATCACTATCGTTTGGTAAAAATACTATAAGTGTTTTTGCTAAAGATACATTTATTAGTGATACGAGTGATGATGAATTTCTTCACGATCGTTCACGAAGGAAGATGGGTAAATCACAAGCTACAGATTCCTCTCTTCTAGATGGAGAAATTCAATCAGGTATCTCGAGAAGGAGTACCTTTCCAAATTCTCCTCCATCTAGTCCCTCAAAATCAATGAAGACTAGAACATCATCTGGTCGTAAGAAAAGATCAGCTTCAATTAGTCTTCAAACATTTTCAAAATTAACATATACACAAGCTAAGATACGTAAATGGTTATATGCTATTTATGTATATATCTCTGTCCTAGTTATTATCCTACTAGGTATCAGAGAATACGTAGCAAAACAAGCTTTACAAGGTCATGAACCTATAGGATGGGCTTTAGGTTATTTATTCGGAGATCTACCACGTTTTCGATTCGAGGTCGTTAGCGCTAATTTACAACGATGGATACCACTTCCTCCTCGTTCATATATCGATTCTGATAAAACAGAATCAGGAATTTGCGAACAAAAAGGCTGGATTGAACGAATTCGATATTCGGATTTTGGACCTGCTAATACACGTCTCATTCTCTCGATCTATTGGCTTTTTATCTTGATAACAGGTCTAGCGATAGTATTCCGTCTTTCTTCCATCTACGAAGTTGATACCCGACGAAAAGTTTTTCACTTCATGATGGTTTTTATTCTTCTCCCTTCTACATTTGTGGATCCGACATATTGTGCCCTAGCACTAAGTTTAATTTTGGCCATATTTTTACTACTGGATATGGTGAGAGCAACACAGTTACCACCGTTTAGTAGATGGTTGGCGAGATTCTTAACACCATATGTTGATGGAAGGGATTTAAGGGGTCCGGTGGTTGTTAGTCATATTTTTCTAGCGATAGGCTGTGCAGTACCTCTTTGGTTGAGTTTGGGATCTGTAGAGCGGAGTAATTCATCGCTTGGGATGCAGAATGGAATGGAAGATGATGGTGGAAAAAGAAATGCGATGACTGGATGGGAAGTTCAGAAAAGAGAAGTGGCAATGGTGGCGGGGGTTATTTGTGTAGGGTTGGGTGATGCGGCGGCCTCGTTGGTGGGTAGGAGGTGCGGGAGACGAAAGTGGATTTGGGGTGGGGGGAAGAGTGTTGAGGGGAGTGTGGCGTTTGCGGTTGCGGTGGGTGTGGCGCTTGTGGGTGCGAAGTGGTGGGTTGGGTTTGGGGGGTGGGAGGGGGAAAGGAGGGGTTATGAGAGGGGAGTAGGGGGTTGGAGTGAGAGGTTGAGGGGGGATGCTGGTGTGGGTGGGGAGTATGATATCTTTGCTCATGCGAATGGATATGGATATGCAAATGGATATGGAAAAGAAGATTCATGGAGAATCACACTAGGAAAAAGTATCCTAGCAGCTATAATAGCAAGTCTCACCGAAGCGGTCTTGACAGGTGGAAATGATAATGTCGTTGTACCGGTGGTACTTTGGTGTTGTGTTAAGGGGTTGGAGATTTAGATTGATGGTTTTTGAGAGTTTTTTTTGGTTTTTTGTGCGGGTGTGGATGGAAAGAGCCCCTAAAGGGATGGGATAGAGAAAAGTTTTCTTTGGAGAGTGTATGGGTTTTTGGGATAGATGGATGGGTGGATGGGTGGATGGGTGGAGGGAATGGAGAGATGGAGAGATGGATATGGGGTTGAAGGTGGAAATGAGTTGTGCTTTAGATAAATCTTAAAGGAGATATTGATTGGATTTGATATTTGATATGATTGTAACGATACTATACTGGAGGCAGCGGCTGCCTAAGGTTTCGTCTGGTTGGTAGTTGTGGGTTAAGGCTTTATCACTGGTCTTCACTTGGAAGTGAAGTCGTTACTAGATCAAGTAGAATGTAGGTAAACTAATTGATAACTAAGTTGAGCATGAAGCTCCTTAACCACGAGACTAAATGAATGTTTATATACCCTATATCATCTTTTGAGGACCCTTGGGACCCTAAAGTCCAAAAGGTCCTCGAGGTCACGTGAATTAATGAATCGTGACAATGATATAATTTCAAATGAGATAATCTAAAAATCTAATGAAGAGGAAATAAAAGAATGAGTTGAATTGGATAATAAATAATATATATTTAAATTATTTTCTTATTTTATTTATTACATTTAAAGATTTTAAATTATTTATTTATTTATTCATTAATGTTACGAGGTTTGCCGTCTAGATCACGTGGAAGTGCTCTAGGCTCTCGAGGTGGTTTATAACTAGGCGTCAAGCAGGGACTTAAAGTAATGACAATAATGATATGCAATTCGTAACTAATAGTAGAGTATACTAAATGATTGATCTTGAGCACGAAGCTCTATACAAAGGAAATCCATCTTGATTATATAGACCTTCATGCTTCTGTGATCACGTGACTTGGTCATGTGATGGTAGTTGTGTAGCCCGTCGTAACACTATAATACACTAATAAATTATAATTCTTATCTCACTCTTTTATTCTCTTTCTTTTTAATTTCTTTTATTCTTCTCCATCAAATTGTAACGATACTGTACTGGAGGCAGCGGCTGCCTAAGGTTCGTCTGGTTGGTAGTTGTAGGTTAAGGCTTTATCACTGGTATTCACTTGGAAGTGAAGTCGTTACTAGATCAAGTAGAATGTAGGTAAACTAATTGATAATGAAGTTGAGCACGAAGCTCCTAAACTATGAAATTATTCTGACTATATAATGAACAATAGAGGGAGCCTTCAGGAGCTTTCTGGCTCCTCAGGGCTCCTTATCACGTGATTCCCTTTTATCCCAGGACACTAATCCTAATGGTGAATCGTGACACAAATCCCACTCTGCAGTTCCTTCTACATCTCCACATCTAAACATCACACAAATTCCCAAACAACTACATCACCCATACGTCTCCAATCATCAATCCACTGAGTATTCCTCTCTCTCCAAACTTCTTTCATTTCCATACCTTTTTTCTCTCCCTCTCCCGCTCTCGAACCTTCATAAAATCCACGAATATCTTTTTCTATTCCCTCGAATCCTACTAGATAGCGCGGCCATTGTTTTTTATATTTCATTTTTTCGTTTTCTTTTTCTTTTTCTTTTTCTTTTTCTTGACCACCACCTCCTTCCTCCTCCTCATTCCCACTCAACTCCGACAAGCCAACAATTTCCTCTCGTAAAAACCTCCACGGATCATCATAGAATCTATCCGCCTCATCTCTATAACCCCCCCTCTCATCAACACCCAAATGAATCGGAGGTTCACAACCCAAAGCCCAAGCACCCAGTTCCTTATAAATCAATTGACTTCTCCACGGTGTACTATGACATGGCATTAGGAACCCCACGTAAGGTTTTTCCCATTCTTTTTCCCAGTTTGGGTTTTGTGATGTTCCCATGTTGCGAGCTGCATATTGGGAATTTTCTTCTTTTTTGATATCGTAATTGATGTTTAGGGATGGAGAGTCATTTTCATATATTGCTGCTGGATAGTGTTTTAGATAGGAATATGCGTTTGGTGAATGAAGTGGGATTCCTTGTGCATCTAACATTTCGGTTTCGTAGCGGTGACGGATGAATTTTGTTACAGATATAACAGCTGACTGGTGGATTAGTGTTGTGTAGGCTGCTAGAGCTACGTTAAGTAGAATTAGAATGGTAAGAAGTGGTTTGCGAATTGTTTTTGTTTCGATTTCCAATTTTTTTGGATCTTTGCTAGGAATTTGAATTTCTTTTGTAAAGAATGATGTTATCGAAGGTGCGGTTAAAATGAGAAGAATAGGAAGAAGTGGATAAATGAATCGAACTTCTTTATGAGAAATTGTGCTTAAGACAAAAATCATCAAACTGATTAGATGAGTGAGGATTGTTTGAAGACCAGAGGTAAATGTCGAATTTGGTGTTGTAGATGGTGTATAAGATTTAAATATCGATACAATCGTAAAAGGAAGATAGGTGAGTAATAAAAGTGGTAAACCTTGGGAGAAAAAATAATGCCAATCATTTTTGCCATAAAATACGGCTAGATCTTGAGAAATATTAAAATGTAGCCATTGATAAGGTGGAAATGTCCATTCTCCAAAGTACAGATGATCTGAGAGAGCGGAGATTATGAGGATGAGAGAACCACATAGAATAGTTTCTCTAAGAAGAATGAGATAGTCCCGTTGAATTGGTGATTTGGTTGTCTTTTGAGCTACACCGGGTATGAAAGACATAATTATTGGCATTATGACACAGAACCATATTAAAAGATTGGTTGGTCTAAGAATGCAAGCAATACCTGCTAGTAGAAGAGAATATCGGAGACTTTTATGGTCAGTATCTAATTCTGAATATGCAGCTCAAAGATATCTTACTGGTTAATGGATTTCGCTGTCCTGAAAACACCTTCAGACACAGACCTTGTTGATTCTTTCGTCTCCTCTTTAATCTTTTCTCCAGAATTAATTGCCAAATCCCAAGGCCAATAATACAAAGCAGTAATTGTTAAACTCGTTTCCAAAGAATTTGAAAAAGTTCTTGTTGAACAAAACCAATTCCAAGGACTGAATACACTCATAAGTAACTAGTCAAATATTAGTATTCAATTCTCATAAATAATTCCAATCATATACATACAGTAAAATAACCAGTTCTACTACCTAATCCATACATCTTTTCAGCCATTTTCCAAGTATAATAATCACAAGCTGCAGCAAAAATAGCTTGAATAATGTTTGGTAATACAGCTAAGACTTCTGCTCGAAATTGAGGAAAGAAATTCACAAATTCCATAGGTTTATCTACTAGATAATATGCAGCTGCAAAGAGAGCTGGATGTAATGAAGATCTTAATTGATAATGCCATTCCTATTTGACATCATTAGTAACCATTTTTCCTCTTTAATATAATTGAAATGACGCTCCGCTGGCTTTCCCGGGGGGCCACTGCCGTGGTGGCTACTCTTCTTTTGACTCAGAAGATCCTCAAAGAATTGTGAAGTTGTCGGTTCGACAAAAGGGAAAGAGAAGAGTAAATATAAGAAAAGGAGGAAATAACATACCCACGTAAGCCAAGCACCACTATCCAAGCCAAAAACAATTTGCCATGCAGGTTCTAAAGATTGAAAATATTCATCTGGTTGAAAGAAAGTTTTGACCAGAAAAGAATTGAAAACTCTAAAAACAAGAAGGAAAGTCCATATATCTTTTGCAGTTTGTTCATTGACTAATTTGTGTAGTCCATTTTCTTCAATATCTGGATTTTTGGAGTGAATGTCGAGTTTGTGGTTTGTGGGTTGAGGTGAAGGGATTGTTACCTCTGTTGGAGGAGAGGTGAAAGTTGGATTTGACATGGCGAGAAATAGAGATTATTCATGGAGGGGAAGAGAAGGAGGGAAGAGGATTGTGTGAAGTATCAAGTGTGGAGAGGTTGATATATCCATATATGTGTAATCTTACAATATAGGATATATTAATTGTACCTGCAGAGATGTTCTGATATAATCTTTCTTACCTAGTAATTTCCTCGAAGCTGCCCACGTGTTGTGTGGTGGGAGAGTAGTTGCCGACTTTTACCCGGTTGAATTTGGAAGAGTGGTTTGAGTGTGCCTTGATGCCTTGTGCCTTAATGTATTGATGCCTCATTACTTTTCCATCCAGACCATCCAAACCACCCAAGGCTTCACATTCAAGAATTCTATCATATATCCCGTCGTACCAATGCCACCAACCAGTTATTCAATTCCACATCTTAAGTTGAGAAATGAATTGAGCCTTCTGTATCGCTGACGTTATCTCTTGGCATTTGAGCCATGATTGTTGAACGATGATGTACTACACATCCATTTCCATCTTCTTTTATGATTTTATTATTTGTATACATATGATCGTTCTAATCATAGTAGTTAAATCTTACATAGTCCAGCATCCTTCCCCTTCTAGTAATTGAATCGTCCATCATATCAATATCAAAACCTAAGTCATAATTCAATATCCATTTCAACCTTTAAAGTACTTGTTACTCTGTGCTCTACTCTGTATACTCAAGAGTCAAGACTCTCTACTCGAGTCATAAGCACACCCAATCACATCCAGCTCTCGTGCTCGACCACCACTTCTCCGACCAAGATGTAAAACAATCCAATTCGCCAATCAAATGACCAACGATTATGCTTAGAAGCCCAACGATAGGCCATCAATCCTTCTTGCCCCTCTAATTCTCTTAAACCACATGCAGATCCCAGGCTGAGGATCCACTCAGCACCACTAATCACCACTAACGCACACTATCTTGGAGCATCTCCGCCTCACTCGAACCCTATAAGCAAGAGGTGACGAGCACGGAAATCAACGGATGTGCTTGAGGATGCTTTTGTTCCCCTAAGTGCAGGTATAAGCATGAAGGGGAAGAAATGCTAGGGAATGCTGTTGATATTAGATGATAACTGAAATTTCTGAAATTTCTCTTAGTCAGTGTGAGATCAGCTGGGTCAGAGGAATGGATATACTTGCACTTAGGGGTTTAGTGAGTTTTGATGAGTTTTGATGATGATGAAAATGTATCTCTTGGATTTTCCTTCTTTTCTTTCTTATAAAAAGACGTGGAATTCCTTGTTTCATTGGAAATTCTGATATTCTACTTTTAACTTTTTATTTTTGCATTTTTATTCCAAAGTCTGTACTGTACAGTGCGTGAGTGAAGCTAAAATCATCACTACAAAGTCCTGGTGTAAGTACTAAATACTTGGTCCTTAGCCCTTAGTCTAGCCTGTTCCTTGGGTACAGAATTCCCTTTCATCCCACTCACTGTACTTCTAACCACAACTACTTCCATTACCACTACCACTACAAAAAACAATTACAACTACACCCACAACTTACAATTAAATTCTACTCCATCACAAAAATCTAACACAAATCCAGAACATACAACAACGCACTCATCAAAATAAATAAATCAATTTCGTCATCATGGCTCCCCACGCTGACTCCCAATCAACCACCAACGGTGTTGCCGGTAGCACACTCAAAGCCACCGCCCCCACCTTCTCCCCCGTCACCACCATCCCCGAATCCAAATACCATTCCACCTCAACCGAATCCGCCATCCACGACGAACACGAATACGCCGCCCACAACTACCATCCCCTCCCCATAGTATTCGCGCGAGCATCCGGATCCAACGTCTGGGATCCAGAAGGAAACCAATACATCGATTTCCTCTCTGCCTATTCAGCCGTCAATCAAGGACATTGCCACCCAGAACTCATCGCTGCTCTTTGCGCACAAGCTCAACGTCTTACTCTCTCCAGTCGAGCATTCCATAATGATGTATTCCCCAAATGGGCAGAGAAGATCAAGAATGTTTTTGGATATGAGATGGTTTTGCCGATGAATACTGGTGCCGAGGCGGTTGAGACGGCGATTAAGATTGCGAGGAAGTGGGCTTATAAGGTTAAGGGCGTCGAACAGGATAAGGCGTTGATCTTTGCTGCTGCTGAGAACTTTCATGGAAGAACTGTATGTTTTACCCCCAGTTTTCATTTATTCCTCTGTTGTGACCCTACCAAAAAGATGATTATGTCTCTGTACTCTAGTCTGCCTCCACGGCAGTGGTCCCCGGAGGGCCAGCGGAGCGTCATTTTTAATTGAATTGATATTTTGTTTATTTATGGGGGCAAGCCCCCAAACCCCATAGCTCGCTGCGCTCGAATGTTTTTCATTACCAGTCAACTAACAGTACATTCTAATCACAGATGACCGCAATTTCCATGTCAGTTGATCCTGAATCCCGCGACAACTATGGTCCATATGTTCCAGGAGTAGGTGCTCAATGCCCAACTACAAAGAGACAAATTAGATTCAACAATGTTTCCGATCTCGAAGTTGTCCTTGAAGCTCATGGAAAGAATACCGCTGCCTTTATTGTCGAGCCAATTCAAGGTGAAGCTGGTGTTGTCGTACCAGATGATGATTACCTTTCAAAGGTTCATGCTCTTTGCAAGAAACACAATGTCCTTTTAATCTGTGATGAGATTCAAACTGGTATTGGTAGAACTGGACGTATGCTTTGCTCAGAATGGTCTGGTATTAAACCTGATATGGTTACACTCGGAAAGGCCATTTCTGGTGGAATGTACCCAGTTTCTTGCGTTCTTGGTTCTAAGGAAATTATGCTTACCATTGAACCTGGTACTCATGGTTCTACTTATGGAGGCAATCCATTGGGTTGTGCAGTTTCTATCCGTGCTTTGGAAATCATGGAAGAAGAGAAGTTGACTGAAAGAGCTGAGAAGCTTGGACATGTCCTCAGAAAAGGATTGGAAGATTTGAAGAGTCCTATGATTAAGTTGGTTAGAGGAAAGGGATTGTTGAATGCTATCGTCATTGATGAATCAAAGACTGGTGGTCATAGTGCTTGGGATTTGTGTATGTTGTTGAAGAGCAAAGGATTACTTGTAAGTTTCTAGTTCATGACCCACAGCCCCTAGTTTGGAATATCGCTAATGAAACAGGCCAAACCAACTCACGAGAATATCATTCGTCTTGCACCACCACTCGTCATCAGCGAAGAGGATATTCAAAAATCCCTTTCCATCATCAAGGAAGCTATCATCGAATTGCCAAACCTCAAGGGTGAGAAAGAAGATGCTGTTATCCCAGCAAACGAGAAGAACGTTCATATTCCATTGGAAAACTAAGGATTCAATTCCACCTAGTACACGAATTTTCATTTCATTTTCCAGGGAGGGTTCAAAAAGAATTTGGGTATCTACTGTTTTTACATTTTCTTTCTCATTCACAAAGATGTTTAGGATCTAAATTGGCATCGGCGAACGGGTAAGGGAAATGATAAACATGACGTTTTGCTTGACTTTAAATCCGAAGTTGCAATTATACCTGGAATTACACGGGAGGAGTTTTTGGGTATCTACTGTTTTGGGCGACCAAAACATGACGTTTTTGCTTGACTTTTATTTTTTTGATTAAAAAGTCGCAATTATACCTAAAGGACAGGGCATAGGAGGAAGGAGTTTCATTTTTGGGGTGGGGGTATCTACTGTTTTGGACAATTAAAACTCACTTTTAACGACGATTTGGGCATGCATTCTTTGATGCAAAGTCGGGAAAATGGAATAGATGAGGACCAGAATATGACGCTTTTTTTTGCTTGATCTACTTACCTTACTTACTTATACCTTTGGTTGGTTAGTTGGTCAGTTGGTCGGTCAGTTGCAATTATACCTGGTTTAAGATACTTAGATGGGATAGTTAGGATTGGATAGGAAGAATATGGAAAATATGGAAAGTATCATATGAGTTGAATTGAAATGATATGATTTCATGTGATTTGATATGTAGATTTTATATTCTCTTTTTTTTTTTTTTCTTGATCTGAGTCTATTAGATTAACAATTGGGTCTTTTGAAGTTTATATATATATTAGTTTTATATATATATATATTCCTTCCTTGTAAAAAGTAAATGATAATTGATGGATAAATGTTATATATATACTGATTATATTATTCCTACTATCTCTTTATATCCTCGTATAATTACAAACTACAACCATAGGCACAATAAGCACAGCCACCCACAAACTCACAAATATCATACATGCATACACAAAACCATAAGAATTAACACGTCAAGTGCAAATTGCAAATTGCAAAGATACTATTTAATAGTCATTATCCTTTAGGATATGATTATCTCCATATCTCCATCTTTCATCTTTCCATCTCTCTGCATTCCTTCATCTCTTCATACTATAATATCTCCTTCCACCAATCGCATCCACATCCACAACCAATCCACCTAAATACAACCAAAACCACCCAACTGCCCAACTAACGCAAACTCAACTTTAGCAAGAAAAAAAACCCCCTAAACCAACCAATCAACCAACAGACCAACATCCCAAATCTCTGATCAAAATCCCTATCAAAGCCAGCCATACCCTAACACCAATACCAATACCAATACTAAGCCCCGAACCAATTCAATCAATCAATCAATCCATCCACTAAAGCGCCTAAAGAGAAGAGAGGGTGTCCAATTCCTGTTCGTCCATCCATCCATCCACTCATCCTTTGCTGTGAATGTGCGTGTGCTTGCAATCTGTTTCTACTGTTCCAAGCACCATCAATCCATCCGTTCAGTCCTATCCAACCAACCCACTTCCAATCCTAACCCCATTGCTTCTCGCAAAAATCCTAATAAAAAAAACGTAAATAAAGGAAGAAAAAAAAAACCACAAAGAAGCCGGGGTATTCACAAGCTCCAATCCTCGAAAATAATGATACTGGTATGAAGTGTAGAACGCCAATCCCAACCATCCTATCCCATACCATACCATCATAAATATCATTGAGTTGGGAGACTGAATGAACGTCATGAACCTATCACCATGTGAAAGTTTCCCTCCCTATGGAGATAGATTCAGGCACTCAAGGAAAACAGAAAAAGAAATCACCAAATCCACACAAAAACAAATCCCCAAAAGATTTCTAAAAACTCATACAAAATTCAGATTAAAATGAATGAAAAGAGAAATGAGAATGGAGAAAAAAAAATCGATAAACGCCAAAGTTATGCATTTGCAGTTACTTCCATGTTATCATGATGCAAATTTGGCTGACAGAAAAGCCCAGCTTTCTTGCTCGCCTGTGTAGTTTTAATGCGGTGGAGTATTGGCGATAGTAGGAGTAGTTCCTCCACTATGGCTATGACGTGGAGATGATGGAGGTGGCATTGATTGATGTCTAGCGATAACTGCCATTTTCTTCTTGAGAACATGAAGACGAGTTCGGATCATTTGAAGGACTATTTTTAGGTTAGCATTTCTTCAAGAGTGTTAGCTTCAACTAAAAAAAGTAAATACCTTTCAAGACATCCTTTCTATCTCCAAAATTAATGCCATTAACCTCTCCACCATCACACTTCTCTTTATCTTCTCGTAAACTTGGTGATCTCTTTCGAGGAATAAGTTCTTCATCGTTTTCGAGAACTGCTTCAAGCATTCTAATGGCGGTAGTGTATGAAATTTCACAACCAGGAAGATCCTCATTTGCCAACTCATTAATAGCTGCTGTACGACTCATCTCTAGAGCACGATCATACATTAATTTCTCAGCAGTTATACCAGAACTCAATACAACACCATCAGTAGTTGAAGATCCACCAACTATTTTAGAAGCTGTTGCATGATTACTTGGATGCCCTGGATGATCTTCGGGCAGACGTTTTTGAGCCTCGACCAATTTAAGTCGAACAAGCTCTGCTTTCTCCAAGACTTCATTGAATCGAGTTCGGACCCATTGAACTGCACCATTGATGCGATTTCCTGCCTGGACTGCTGATGATGAATCACTTCCTGGAGTATGGCCTCCACTGATGACTCCGCCCCGGTTCTTTCGCAACCACCAAGCTCCAGCAATATCCATAGACTTGGAGAGAAGGGATAACGATTTGACGTATAATACAAGTGCTTCCTCGGATAGATTGACGATAGCCTCCACCGTTAGACCATCATCTTCATCCATGGCGTCGCCCACCTTTTCGTTATTTGGACCTCCGAGGCCATGATTCATAGAAGGTGCTAAAGGAATGAGTTGTCGATATTTGACTTCAGCAAATCCATACACAACATCACTTCTAGTCGCAGAATCCTCTATGACATTCACAACTCTTTGATCCTCATCAATAGGTCGAGCATCTCCAATAAATCCAGTGTTAGGTGTAGGATAAGCGGGATAAGGATTGTATAATTGTTGTGGGGAAGGCCCTTTTCCAATAAGCGTGGGAGACCAAGAAACACCAAATACTCTCACACTGGCGCCTTGAAGTGCTTTAGCGATAGCTGAAGCAGTTGATGGGCTGCTACCGGTTTTACCATAAGAACCATATGAATTCCTTGCGGATGATGTATCTGGTCGGGTGTTTCCTTGAGCTTTTTGAACAGCGCGTGAGGGTGGTACAGCTACCGCCCCTGATGTCGAGTTTGGTGCTCCCATTGATGTATGTCTTCTGGTCGGCTGCTTCGGTATGTGATTAGCATGTGCAAGTCGTGGACTCGCAGCCATCTCATCTGCAAAAGCATTGACTTCAACTGCTTTCTTCTCAACGAGGACATATTCTCTGGCATCTCGAACATCTTGTTCGGCTTCGGTTATGGAATCACTCGATCGAATCTCTTCCTGGACTGGCAAATTTGCTTGCTCATCATAAGATGGTTTCCTGGACACAGGTCTTCCGATCGGAGCATAATGTCGTTCCGTGCGGTCCCTTTGTCTTGGTAAGGTATCTACATTTGGGGCGGTCGCGGCAGAAATTGCTGAAGGTCGATCTCTTGACCCTGGACGGCCAGATTTATGGCCTGGTATTTCCACGGGTTGATTGGCCTCTATATGCGGACTCCTTGGAGCTTGTTCCCCAATATCTCTGGCAATCAATGATTCATATGTCGTTTCAACTGGTTTAGGAGTTGGATTTTCACGTTGGCGCTCTCTCAAAGATGGATGTCGAGCTACGGAGGCTTCTGGTGATCTCGAAGGTGTAATAATCTCCTTTGGTAAATCCTCCCCAACCAGGCCAGGAATTGGTCCGGTCACAACTGGGTGGGCAAAGTATTCTGGAAAGGTTATTCGATCCTCGGGTCTTTTCTTCAGAAATCGTCGTGCAATGTCCTTCAAATCTCTGCTAAAAACAGTCTTGCTAGGGAATCTAATTTCATCTTCATTCTGTTCAATTTTGCGTAATAATTCAACGTGATTCGCCGCTCTAAATGGTGGTTTACCAGTCATCATTTCGTAAAGAACGGTCCCAATAGACCAGAGATCGGCTCGTGCATCGTATTTTTCATAACGTAGAATTTCAGGTGCCATGTAAAGGGGGGAACCGCATAAAGTCTCGGCAAGCGAGGTAGAGGGTAATGATCGAGCAAATCCGAAATCTGCCAATTTAAGCATTGGTAATGAATTGATACCAACCATAGGTACAATAGATTCCTTGCTCGCTTTCATGGCTTCTGGTCCATTTTTACTCTTTGCCATCCAATCCGGAGATGGAATCAAAAGAAGATTTTGTGGTTTAACATCCCTGTGTACAAAGTCCCGATCCCTCAAGAATTCCATCGCGCTTGACAATTGTTTGAAGAAGTGCCGAACTACAACTTGGTTGAGACCGCCGTCGACTGGCATAGGGTATTTCCTGATCATATCGAAGAGCGAAGGGTTGTCGGCCAGCTTATCTCTCTTTTTGATAAAGTATGATAAGTCCCCCAATTCACAATATTCCATCATCAGATGTATGTGGGATGTAGATTCTCTGCAATCCATAAGCGCAACAATATGAGGATGGTGAAGGCTTTTCAATATTTCGATTTCGACGTATAAGTTATCTTTAAGCTTCTTATTGAGTCTGCCAAGGTTTACGGACTTTATCGCCACGAGAGATCCACTGGGCTGTAATGAAACACATTAGCATTATTGATATGAGGGAAGATAGGATGTAAGTTGTAGAGACGTGAGCTACTCAAAGCCCTCCAAAGTCACCACAAACAGTAAACAAGGCTGCCATCATCTCAAACACATACCACATGTGTACCACGATAAACCGTGGCAAAGCTACCTTTACCAATCTCCTCATTGATAGTAAAAGATCCCACCCCGACGTTCCGTGGCCGCCTTGACGACGAAGATGAAGGAGTCTTGGAGGCCATGACTGCGATTGTTCAAGCAGGAAGGGCTGATATCCTTCTGAGATCCTCAAATGATCCTCCCCTCGACTCAACAACTCGAAAGAGGCTATATCCTTGATGAAATGATCGTATGCATCGACACACTTATTGTCGGGTTGATAAAGTAAAGGAATCGGATTGAGGTTGTGTGTCGGATGGAGGTTTAGAATGAAGGTTGTACGATGATGAAGATGTTAGGTAACGGAAGCGAAGTTGAGCTTGCTTTGTATGCGCCCTCGGTCGTTATTGGCAAGCCTCCAGGAGACGATCAAGGTCTTTTTAAGGTAAACGGCAGAAAAGGTAGAAGGGAGATGCGGCTCGTGTGTTGTGCAATGTTGATAGCGGAGAGGAATTATTGGAAGCCGGTTGGCTGGTTATTGTCGAGGTTCAGGATAACGAATGGCAGTTTGTAGATAAACTGCCGAGTGACTCTACCCAAACGGTTTTTTGAAGTATGAAGGTTGGTGGACTTCGTAGAATATCTCGAGGGACTTTATCGAAGTATATCGAGAATAAATTTACACAGTTATGATTTAACGACGCGGTGGATGATTCGAGGTGGTTGATGGTTGATTGTGTGAGTGAGCGTTGATATGGCGTATTGATTGTGAATAGGTAGATAGCGGTAGTGGGTTTTAGGTTGATGTCACTCACTGGGTATCTAACTAGGTACCTGGTAAGTCCAGTTGTAAGATCTTGGGATAAGGTGAATAAAAAGAGTATTCTGAGTAATCAAATAATATGTACTCTGGAATAGGAATAGGAACAGGAATAGGTAAGTGAAGAGGCAAAAGGGGATAGAATAATCAATAGAAAGGAATAGTAATAATACCTAGGTCGTGATAATAGGTTTATAATCTGATGAGTCTTATTTCTTTTTCCTTCTTGTCGTTTTGAAGTACCAAAATCAAGTCAGTTAGTCAATCAGTCAGTCACTCAGTCATTCCCTATTCCCTTTAGTTCAATGAACCGTGCTCGTGATATCAAATTCATCAGGTCTTGTCTCGTTCGTTCGTTCGTTCGTTCATTCAATCTTCCCTTATCATGAACATTTCATCGATTGGCGCGATACCATACAACCTTAATCAAGAAGTGCTTACAACGCTAAAGAAAGAGTCACTTCTGCCATCTGCCACGACTCACTCATTTGTTTCGAGGCAACACTTGCACGGAAGACTATAAAGTAGAAGCTTATCGATGCTTCCCGTATGGACGAACCATTATCCGAAGTTACCATTTGCTGCATCTCGAATCATGTACAAAGTACAAAGGATCCATTCTCATACATTGATTACTTAGCTACGCCCGGCATTCAAATCTAATCACGGGAGAAAAGAGTGATGCCTTGATTTAGTCACTAGGTATTCTTGTATCTTCTCCGTAGATTGGATGAATGTCAATTATTAATACCGTTATTGGTGATATTTATATTAGAGTACCTACCGATAGAACATCAAAACAATATCAAAATCAACATCGATTTCAGCATCAACGTCAATATCAACGTCAATAACCTCCTTTATCAAACACACTTCATTCATTCCTCTCTATCAATAAATAGCCAACTACCTACCTACCTACTAACATCCCAACAATCTCATCCTCACCAGCCCATCCCAATCAACAAAATCGCCCCTTTCATGCATCCATGATCAGATGGTCGCCCATTCCCATTTCACCTCTACCTGGTTGGACCCTTCACAACTTCCATCCTTAAAAAAAAGGTCCAAGCCAACCATAATCCGCCATCCATCCTTCCCCACAAAACGCCATTCTAAGCTCCACTAATAATAACCCGTCTATCGCGTAACCAAGAAATATGTAAATCCTAAGGGTAGGGTAGGGAGTGCAGTAGACACAAGACACACCGATAGCGCACAACAGTTTATTCAATTCATCAATCAACTCGGCTTCAAATTATTAATATAAGATGAACGGATTGTTATACAACTTTAATTTATACTTAGTATAGGCTGATATACTATACGGACAGACTCTTTTAATAGGCATTAACATCACTCTCATCATGAAAATTTAAGAAGATAGAAAATCAATTCATTCATTCATCCGCTATGAAAAAGAAGAGAGGAGAACAACACCTATCTAAACAAAGAATCAAAGGAAACCCTGGCACGGGGTACATATCGCTGCATGCATACATACATGTACTTCTTTACTCCCTACGCAGTACATCTATCATCTATCCATCTCTAGTGCATCGTGGGATCCACGATATCTGTACATGTATGAAAATATAGTGTACTCAGGCATCCAAATACCCCGTACAGAGTACGTATATAATAAATGAAGATCTGGGCCTTGAGGCGGTCAGGAAATATGATTCTCTATTTGTTGATTGATACCGATATGATTACATAACTTACCTATATCCTTTTCATCTAATATCACCCTTACTTCAATACCTAAATAGTTTATCATCCTGTTCTTTACTCTTCACTCTTCACTCTATACCATACTATACTATACTATAGTATACTCCCAACAAATCCTCACCACTGGCATCATCATCATTTTCTACTTCTCTATAAAACTCCTCCTTTTCAGTTATAAAAATTCACCCATTCTTACCAACTATCATATTAATAATCTTCCATCCAGTCATCAATTTCAACCATCAATAACAAACCTCAGAATCTACTGAATCAAAAAAAATATATCTAGAACACTAGTAATCTTATTAATATTCTAATCCTTTAAGGATGTCACGAACCACGACTAATACTATACTTTTATGTTAAAGTGAATGGTTCCTGCGTAGCACGTGCACAAGGCACTAGTCCTATTAGGACTAGATTGAGAAGCGCTCTGTAGGAGAGCTTCGTGTTACGTCGGACAGTAGCATAGGTCACGTTCTTAATCACATGATCAAGAAACCGACAAATCGAGATCGGCTTTGCGGTGATCGATTTGTCGGGCTCATAGCCATCGGTTTTTTAAGGAGGCACGAAGGTCTATATAATCAAGATGGATTTCCTTTGTATAGAGCTTCGTGCTCAAGATCAATCACTTAGTATACTCTACTATTAGTTACGAATTGCATATCATTATTGTCATTACTTTAAGTCCCTGCTTGACGCCTAGTTATAAACCACCTCGAGAGCCTAGAGCACTTCCACGTGATCTAGACGGCAACCTCGTAACACCAGTATTCTTGAGTGTGACAAAAATACTTTTATTATTCCTGAATATTCATTAATTTAATATTATAATTATCTTTCTTAAAAGATTTATTATATTTTCCAATTTAATTATTATATACAAGAAGAAAGATTAAAACTATGCTATTAAAAAATCACACCTGTCACGATTCACCATCACGTCGGACAAGTAGGGATCACGTGATGGAGCCTCCAGGAGCATAGGCGCCTCCAGGCTCCTGCAGGCTCCTGGAAAGGACCAGTATATAAACATTCATTATTTTCATAGTATAGGAGCTTCGTGCTCAACTTAGTTATCAATTAGTTTACCTACATTCTACTTGATCTAGTAACGAATTCACTTCCAAGTGAATACCAGTGATAAAGCCTTAACCCACAACTACCAACAAGATGAAACCTCAGGCAGCGGCTGCCTGAGGTATAGTATCGTTACAACACCCTTAAAAGCTCTATTTCGTCCTCGCTCTTAAAACAAGAATTGAGGACACCAGTTCGAAAACGGGTGCATTAAAAGCAAGAAGAAACTGGATATGAGAAAGCGGGTAACAAATAGGAGCCATGTGCCCTCTGCACCACGAGAATTAAGATGGTGGATCAAAGAATGTGATCTTTATACAGCAATAATTAGAGATAGCTAAATTAATTCCAAGTCGACTGATTTTCTTCACCATGCAATCACCAGACTCGCCCGAATTCCATGGCAATAGATACAACTTTAGCCTTATGTTTCCCTACAAAAGCAAAACTAGAGAGTTACACGAACGAAATTTTTACAAACGCGAAAGTTTCATTACTCGGCAAATGAAAAGTAGAAACAGAGAGGACAAGAGTTTCGTGAATCTGTAATACTATTACACCCAGAAATTCTTGCTAGAAAGAAAATCCAGTTGCCTTATAACCTTAAAGGAGGGCGTGATAATTATCAATCTTATGATTCTGAACTATTAATCAGAGATGGGCTGATATGTCACGGAAATTTCCAAATCTTTTGCTTTTATACACCAGATTAATGTGGCTATCCGCCCATTCTCAGCCATCTAGACAATTGAAAATCGTAACAATTTTTACCACAACGCCTTGGATAACCCTACCTCAGAACTGATGAGTGTATCATTCATTCAAATGCTTGCACACGCAATAAAGATATAAGAATACTCAAATTCTGGAAGGCGAGTAGCTCGAATATGGGCGACCAGCAACTTGTCAATATATCCTATCCTTATGCAACCTGCTGATCGAAAGCAATCCAACAGGCGCCGCCCTCTTTCAAGCCCTGATATCCGGGTTTATGCAAACTCCACAAGCCCTAGTTGACGAATGATTCGATAGGTGACAACCCGTACGCGATTTATCTAGCCGAAGTATAGCTTGCTTTTCCACCCCACTTGCATATCTTCCCTCTTTCACCCAAATTAGTTATGCGCCCGTAACTATTCACCGATAGAATTTGTCTATATAACGGTGAATAGGTATTAATGAATGGAGCCAATCTTTAGTACGGGTTGTCCAGAGGTCTAGGCAGGTATATGACGCGAGTGAATCATTCCAAGCCAGAGTAACGAATTGTAACGTGATGATAGGCGTCTATGGGAATCACCATATTATAGTAAACGTTTTCCTCGTCTCCAAGCTGGGACATAACTTGCCTGTCACTCTAATTCAACAAACATGAAAAACAAACATCAAAAACTTGCAAAATTACTTGAAAAAAAATCCATTATCATCATGGGCGCAATGATAAAACTTGGCTACCAAGCTGCACTCGAGATAGCAAAAGAGCACCGAGACTGACAGGACTAGTGATGACACTGGAGGAAAGTTGGAAAAACTTTCGCAGTTGCTCACATTGGCCATGCACTGCTTTCTTCCTTCTATACCGGCACTACCCGCATCTCGCGCCGTATTCTGGTGTGTTCTTAATTCGAGTGGTACGCATGACCCAGCACAAAACTCTGGTCTATCTGTACCAGAGTACAACACCGCGGAGAATCTGACACATCCCCCAGAATCCATGATTAAGATCCCCATGCGCAAGGGTTATACAACTGCCAAACTCCGCAATGTGTTCTTCGCCTACGGACTATCGTGTAAGCTCAGTGAGCACACTTCAGAGCGTCATTACTGTTCCAGCTATAGACCCAGGTCTTATGCCCGGCACGGGATTAGCACGAGCAGCAAACAGTCTCTCGGATTGGCTCTAGAATTTAGTGCTGCCACACTTGCTTAATTTATTAGTCTGCTTGTCATAGCGAATACACATACCACGGGCGAAGTTGGGTGCTGCACTTGCCAGACTAGTGATTGGCGCTGATGCTGCGGGCACTAGGGGTCAGTATTTGAGAGACTGAAGGAACGAAAGTCGAGTGTGAATAGTTATGATGAGAATAAACTAGAGGATTTGTGGAATTGGGCTGTCAACTATTTCGCAAAGGCGGTCAGGAGAAAGCGAAATTCGAGTCGCTCAAGTGAGAATAAATAGGAGACAATTATACTGTTTTCTAGAACTTTTCTCTAATTTGTCTGCCCTGCTAGGTAACCTTACCTAGCACCCTGCAACAATTCGCGAGGATTCATCAATTCCTCAAATCCTTCAGAATCGCGAAGGGCCTAGAATGTCTGGATTGTGTGAAGGGTCGATAGATGCAACGATGTAAATGGACTGTGTGAACTTGTTAGATACTGGTACGTACAGTGGAGTGGGGCAATCGGGGAAAATTATAATTTAGATCCCGCTGGGCACAATCACGACATCGCAAATTTTACCTAACAATACTCGCATCAGGATGGCGAAATCATATATATTGGAACGCAATGGCAATCTGACCAATGATGAGAAAATGAGTTACCTATGAGGATCCACTTAAACCCGAAACTTTTCATACCTTTCGGTTCAATCTGACATGCCTAGCTTCCAATCCGCCATATTATTTTGATTTGTACTTCTTGACTTGCTGCTTAAAGCTTGGATTGTACTTCTTGACTTGCTGCTTAAAGCTTGGATAAGTATCATTTCCCAATCACGTCTTCAGCTCACCGTATTTCTCATTTTCATATGTACACTTAAGAATCGTCCGATTCCTGTCTGATGGCTTCCCCAACCTTCCCTACGTTGTATTGTTAGCATGCTGTATTTATATGCCTCCCTACATAAATCATAACCTCAGAGTAGTCGAGACATTCAAGACCCGAAATCCACATAACAATCAGGACATTAGGACCTTTTAAGGCCTGCACAGTCTCTAGACCTCCATTTCAATACCAAAGACATGAGAGACCATTCGAAAGGCTCACTGAGTCCTCCTAGATATGGCAGTACGGACCAAGTTGGAAAGGATGCCAAGGTAGGAATTGAAACACCAAGCGACCACAGTCAAGGTACAACCGCCACTCCAATAATCGACTACTTCTCATAGTTCTTAAATTCTGATTTTTAGATAGAAGAAGATGGATCAGCATATCGGACAAATGACTCGCGCCGTCAAATTGGCCCCATTTCCGCCATATTTCTGATCTTCAATCGCATGATCGGAACCGGAATCTTCTCAACTCCAAGTACCATTCTTGCACTTTCTGGATCTGTTGGCCTTACTCTTTTCATTTGGGTTGCAGGTATGGTGATTGCGGCTGCCGGTCTTGCGACATATATGGAATTCGGTACTGGGCTTCCACGGAACGGTGGTGAAAAAAATTATCTTGAATATGTTTTTCGAAAGCCCAGATTCCTCGTCACGAGTATGTATGCAATGTATGTCGTGCTACTCGGATGGGCGGGTTCGAACTCTGTGGTATTTGGTGAATACATCCTCAGTGCAGCAGAAGTCGAGGTAACTCGTTGGAATCAGCGTGGTGTCGGAGTGGCTTGTATCACTGCCGCTTTTCTGATCCATGGATTCTCAGTAAAATGGGGGTTGAGACTCCAGAACCTTTTAGGTGTCATAAAGCTTCTGATTCTTCTCTTGATCATCATATCGGGTTTCGTCGCGCTTGGCGGCCATTTGAAAGTTGAAAAGCCGAACAATTTCACAAATGCATTCGAAGGAACGACTGGTAGCGCGTAAGTGAAATCTCCTCATTTCTAGTTGTCCTCTAACTTGGTGCAGTTATGGAGTTGTCACAGCTCTGTATAACGTTATTTGGAGTTATATTGGCTACAGCAATGCCAACTACGCGCTCTCCGAAACCAAAAATCCAGTCAAGACCCTCAAAATGGCTGCACCGACGGCTCTGGCTATTGTTGGAGTACTTTACATGCTTGCGAATGTGGGTGATTTCCCGAGACTCCCAAGGAAATGATACTGATGCGGGATTTAGATTGCATATTTTGCTGCCGTGCCAAAGGAAGAAATCATGACATCGGGTCGTATTCTGGCTGCTTCATTTTTCAGGAACATGTTTGGACCCCGTGCCGAGCGTGTGTTATCCGTTTTTGTCGCCCTCTCAGCTTTTGGAAATGTCCTCAGTGTCATCTTTTCCCAAGGCAGAAGTAGGTCACTCCGCTCCAACATCTTTTGTAGCTTCGTGCTTACTCTTAGTAGTTGTACAGGAAATCGCCCGAGAAGGCATTTTGCCATTCTCCAGGCTTTGGGCAAGTAACAAGCCTTTCAACACTCCATTCATGGGACTCTTCGAACATTGGCTTGTCTCTGTAGTCATTATGCTGGCTCCACCACCAGGAGATGCCTACAATTTCATCCTGAAGTATGTACTTCGCTTTTGCCCTGGTCTCTTGAGATGTCGTTATCATATAACTAACCCCACTCAGCGTAATCTCATATCCACTTGCGGTGATAAATGTCTTCGTATCACTAGCTTTGCTCATCCTTTACGTTCGACCATTCTCAGGGGATCGCCATCCACAACACTGGGCCCCACCTTTCCGTGCCACTTGGCCGGTGGTGCTGTTTTTCCTCCTCTCCAACGTCTACCTGGTCATTGCACCATTTGTCCCACCTAGTGCTGGCCAAAATGTGTACAAGAGCTTGCCATATTACCTCCACTGTGTTGTCGGGATTGCGTTCTTCGGCGCAGGAGCTATCTATTGGTTGATCTGGGCTCACATTTTACCCAGAATTGGTGGATACAGGCTCATCCGCGAGCATATTGTAACAGATGATGGATGGAGTGGAAGTGTTTTTAGAAGGGTAAAACGAGAATAGATTACGAGATGGAACCTGGGTTAAAAGAAAATGGGAAAGAGTGACATTACACGTAGCGATACCTTACAGTAATTAGGTAATGATAATAACAAATTCAACATTCAATATCAAATCTACTAAACGCCAACCTTGACCGTTTGGATGAAATATTGAATGATTGAAGTATTGAAGTTCTGACTGTCGATGTTGTCGTGATGTAAGAAGATGTGATGCTGCTTCTTTGCTGAGTAGAGAATAAGGCTGATGTCCGGAGTACGAAATACAAGTATGCGCTAACCTTTATCCGATCTAGCTTAAAATGCCACCCCCCATCATACTGGTGGTGTACCCGCTTCCCGCCTCCAATTCAAACGAACATGTTCACAAAGCATCTTGTGTCAACTCATCTTGCAGTAAATGCACAACGCACAACGCACAACAATAATGCTTCCTTGAGACCCACATTCAACTGGATGCCTCAAATACAACGTCGCTCTTATCGCGCAAATTCTCTTTTGTTATCCATATAACAATGGCACCACTTCTCGAAGATCCTCGCATCCGACAAACCTGGAACCAATTCTCACAGAATGCAGAACATGCTACTGAAAATGCTGCGGCAGGAATATGGAACTTCCAGCATAAATATATAAACCCCTGCTTTTCGACCATTGGAAACGGCTTTGATGCATGTGCAGCTCAATGTTTTCCAGGACAAGAAGAAAGGGCGAGGAGATTAAGAGAAAGAGGGCGGACAAGAGGGCGCGCAGAACTTAGTTTCGATTTTTATGACGATTGGGATGAAGATGAAGGGCTTTTGGGAGGCTGGGGAAATGATGAACTGGATAGGTTATTGGCGGGAAGTGGATCGCACTCTGGAAATGTCACTGAAGCGCCGAAGAGGAAAAGAGGAATGAGTTATGGGACACGAGGAAGGAAGAAAGGATTAGAAAACGACCCTACAATTATACCAAGTACAAGCGCTTTAGGATTTCTAGGACGTTTACCATGGAAATTAGGCGGAACATTGAGATATAAACCTAGCGCGGCAGATTTGCAAGAACATCCTGGAGCACATCGATCAGATTATAATGGACTGGGCGAGGAAGCTGATGCATTGATGGGAGACGACCTTGACGATGAAGCGCGGGATTTCATGCGAGGACATGCGAGGAATAGGAGTTCGACACAAAGTTCAGGAGAGACTTCAGATTCATTTCGATCGAGAGGAGATCTATTTCCGAGTGATGAAGAAGATGCCGTACCTCTCAGTGATGAATTTGCCATGGTACTTGAAAGACGAAATACAAATTCAGGCACGGACGATAAGAGTAGTGGAAATACGCGAAGCAGTAAAGGCAAGAGGCCTGCACGGTCAAGAAATGTATCACGAACTACACAATCATCATCACAGACATTACGACCGAGGGGAGGCGGTGCAGGCTCGGGGACGTCGTTGCCAACCACGCCAGACATCTCAGGCCCCGACGTGATCGCCACCCCGTCGATTGAGGATTTACAACTGGAAGAGGAAAGAGTACGTTTAGAAGAGGATGAAGAAGTGGAAAGGAAACGGCAGGCTGCTTTGCTATTAGCGCAAGAAAGGGGTCTTTATGTAGAGGATACATTTGAACCTGTTCCTTCAGAGCCAAAGCGGGATATAGAGGCAGTAGAAAATTCATCATCGCCACCTGCCGAAGTAGCACCAGCTAGTGAATCACCTTCAGCTCAACCAGAGTCACAGGATAATAAAGAGTTGTCGGAAGGGAAGGATAACGATAACAACAAAGAATATGATTTTGTCCCTGCGAGACTACCAAATTTTCGCTAATCTCGTTT